CATTCGTTGCAAGTCTACTTTGAAGAATTTATTACCTCCCGTGCAGCAGGCGTTTTTAAAAACGTTGGCAAACATTTATTGTTTACATGGGTAATAGGGATGACGACATTTTTTTTCTTCTTTTATCAGGTAGATTATCTAAAAGTATTGGACACATATTTTTTCTTTTTTCACATAATATAAACATTGCAGAATATATTGATTTGAAAAGTCGGATGACGTCACGTTTTGTTACAATTTAGTGTTGCCGATAGATAGTCGACTATCGATGATTAATCGACAGCCAATCAATCGTATCACAATCGATCGGCTTATCGATACTATCGATAGCACAGAAAAAGCCAATACTATCGGATGAGTGAAAAACTATCGATATTATCGATAGCATTGTAGTTCGTTAATAACAAACTATCGATAGTATCCATACTGTCGATTTTATTTGCAACCATACTAGCGATAGTTTAACAATTTGCAGTAGTATTGTTTACAATATTCAGGTATTATAGTCAATCACAAACTATAGTCTAAAAAAATCGCTAGTATCGATACTATCGATAGTATTGTTGCAGATAAAATCAACAGTATCGATAGTAACGATACTATCAATAGTTTGTTATTAACGAACTACAATAGTATCTATAGTATTGCACTCATTCCATAGGTAGTATTGCCTTGTTCTGTGCTATCGATAGTTTCGATACTATCGGTTGTATCGATTCTATCGATAGGGTACATGATTTTCGATGTAAACTGTCGATAGTTTTAATATCGATAGTTCGGCAACACTAGTACAATTTTCACTTAAAAGTGACGTCACGAGCCCCTACTCGCAAACTGACCCGCTTTATCTTTGTAATGTTTTAGTTGATTGCGCAAAGAAAAAAATACGTGTCTATTATTTTTTGATCATCTAACTGACGGACTAAATAGAATTTCGTTTGATTTACCCCGTCGTCACCCCTAATACATTGAATATAAATGAAAGTTAAAAAAGGGCGTTAACTTATTTCAAGCAAAACGGAAATTTCATAGGTGAAGATATAATATAAACTTACGCATTTAAGTTGAATAAATCATTGCATCAAAATGAGGAACATCACTGATGTAACTTAGATAAAAGTGTATATTTAAGCCATAAAAATAGGTACTCATGCATACATATTTAACGCATACTTTCGTTCACAGTTTAATATTATGTAGATTATGTTTGTAACAAGTAACAGTTATAATTGTTTCTAATGCTTACGCGCACTCATTTAATACTACACTCCATAGGCGGGTCATAAAGCGCATAGTTATTTCATATTTTCTTGTGTTACTTTATTGTTTCATGACCAAGATTCATACTTTAGGCCTCTTTTTACCACTTGGCGAATAGATCTAAAGGGCTGCAGGTTCTTAGAGTGGGCTAAGTAAAATTAAAGGATGCTTACAATAAGCGTGATTTTTAGCATCTTTAACACGCTCAGACGTTAAATCTTGTACAACGTTGATAAAGTTTGGTTTGGTTGTGACATTTGTACATTTTTAGGGTTCCTTATCTTATTCCGTGTCAAGTTAAAATTAAAACCAAATATTCGAATCAGGACTACGGTCCGTTGAATCTATGAAATAATTAAACTATTAAGTCAACAAAAAAAAGTCTTTTATCATGCGTACTTACAAAGAAAAAGAAAGAAAAGTGAAGAAGCATTTTTGTAGGCCGGCAAGGTGAGGACGGCTGGTATAGCAGTTTATAACTGCTGTACCAGCTATCTTCGCATTTGGACTTTATCACCACTTAACATAAAAAAATTGTAAAGAACCCTCAGAAGGCGAATCCAAGTCGCACATGTCCGGTTTTTTTTAACTCCTATAAACTGCATTTATGGATAAACCATCAACACCGCAACAGATACATAGCGTAAAGATATGTTTAATTTCCCTTTTATGATAGGTTATATCTGCACATGTAGTATTGGAAAAATACTTATTCCTTTGCCTTCCCATCCCTATCATCTGAAGAAGTTAAAAACCAATAACCTGTATCGACGCCATTTCTATGTAACTGGTCATTCCGCTCCTTAGACTGAGATCGCAACTAATCATTACTCTGTTTCGTAATAAATACTTGTACACGTACGTAATTCAAGTGAAAAGACAATTTTTAATGCTACTCATAATAAGGTATAAATTTAAAAAATCAAAAAACCCGACTGCTTAATTATACTTCAAATAAAAACTGAAAAGAAAAAAACAAGTCCAGTAGTCTATAATTCTGTTAATAAGGAACAAAGCTACTTTAACAGTCGGGACCCATTAGATATTCAAGAATACATAATATTTTTCAACAGTGGGTCCCGACTGTTAAAGTAGCTTTGTTCCTTATTAACAGAATTATAGACTACTGGACTTGTTTTTTTCTTTTCAGTTTTTATTTGAAGTATAATTAAGCAGTCGGGTTTTTTGATTTTTTAAATTTACCTTTTTTATTTCACACTTTTTAGTTAGTTAGTATTTTAAGACGGTATATACCGTAGTCTTGTTACTTCAGTAAGGGAATTAATATCGCGGGAATTATTAAGTACCTTAAGACAGTCTAAAAATGAATCTAATGATACCGCATACATATTTTTTTAAAGGGAAATTTAGAAAAAATATTATTATGTCTTTATCCCGTGGGACTTTTAGGATAAAATGTATCCTATGACACTCCCGTAATCAAGACAAATCTAACGATACCTCATACATCAAAATCCATCAAGCCGTTTAGGCTACAGGAGGTCACAAAGGAACAGACATACATACATACTTACATACACTCCCTAAACATTACCCTCCCTCTTTGGCAGTCGGGTAAAAAGAAGAAAACGTTAACAATTTAATACTATGAGCTTTTTTACCAAATTATATCATTATTGTCTGGTTAATGTTAATGCATGTATGTTTATGTTAGTTTATCATACTAAGTAATAAAAAACTGACATAAACTACCTACTACACCAGCCTATGTGATGCCATAGCATCAATTAATTTTGTTGATTGGTTTTATGTTATGTTTATTATTTTTAAAACAACGTTTATAAGGAAGAATTTTTTTGGAGAATCCGCCAGCAAGGACTGAGTTTGTAGTAGTGTAAATGATATAATTTCAAAAAAACAGAAGTTCTCCTGTTTTTCTTCATGTATCTATTGTTTTTCTTAGAATACGATTTTCTTTTTAAATTGCATATTGAGTAGCACTTTCCGCCATTAATAATGTAGGTATTAATTATTATAAAATAAATGATATTGTCTAAAAAAACGAGCGAGCCTTACAGTAGTCGCGTATGATGTGTAACATTTGAAACCTCACCTGATATTAGTAAAAATTTAAAAATAAAACAATAAAAATTTCAATTCAAATAGCGCGCGCGCTTTCGCGACTTCCTGTTATACACTTCCGTCCCATTTCACGAAATCACTCCCACAAATTGCAGGAAAGCGATGCCAAAGCTGGAGTGTATACCAAAATGATAAGCGTTAGAAGTCCATCATTAATAAAAAAAAATATGTCCTACCAATAACTAGATAACATCTTCGATGAATAAAATTGGATCGAACCAAACATTTGATCTAGTAGTCTTGTCAAATTAAGCGAAAACATGTTATTGCTAAGTTTACCAATGACTTCTTTGAAAAGGGAGTGACAAATACTTTTTGAAATATTATCTATACCAAGTGAAATATATTGCAAATTCTAACACATGTTCGTGTGATCGAAAAACTATGTAGCTTTCCAATATTTCCAATAATATCCGCTTGTGGTAGTTGGTGACTTTTGCGTTCACAATCGTTTTAATCTGAATGGGGATTGAAAAATAAGAACCTCTAAAAAAAAATAACCCTAAGACAATTTACTATCTAGCTTGATCAAGCCGGTTTGATAATCTAACTTAACCACTCCCTTACGCATTCAAATGAAAGCTCTTGTCTGAAAGAGACAACAATTTTAGTAGCTCAATTTAAATTGATACGGACATGGCCGGACTTATTGTACCCGGTTTTTTATCCATGCCCCTTTTAATGATTCCTGGAAAATTGAGGAGTCTGTATAGTTTATCTAAAATTCTTTGCATACAAGCTTTCCTAACGTCCTACCCTCTCTTTTAAAAGGTAACTGTATCCCCAAGAAAGAGAAAAATATTGAATGCGGAAGTTGCATTGCAGTCAACTTTACTTAGCAAATATTTAAAGTACTTTTGATTCTACTATGAGAACCACAACAAAAAAACCAACTGCATTACGTCACATAACTTAGTATATGCAATGTGGCGTTGTAAAATTTCAATTTAACGCTTTGCAATATCGAAGAAAATAACTAAAATTTTAAATTGCATTGATGAAGTAATTTACTATTGTAAAACTACCGATGCTGAGGAAAATCATTGGCGAGTTCTAGGCATGTTGCATAATGCTGAAATCAATCATTATAATAAAGCAAGAACTAGTTAATTATGGAAGCGAATGATGGCTAAATAAGTGGATGTAATCACATAATGAGCGGCAAAAACGTTATCGACCTTCGCTCAAAAAAAAATTAACAAAGACGAGATTTGAAACAAGAATGATGATTGAAGACTGCAACATAACCAGTGTTAAAATTTTAAATTGATAGTTAAAGTCTTATTGAATGTGTTGGAATGAATGAAAGTAGTTGCAAAATATGCCATTAATTAAAGTGTTTTAATACATAATTTCTTAGTTGGTTGGCGCACCTACATTGTGTAACCGCCAACATCTTCACCCAGCGAGATAATAAAATATGATAATTGCGTTGTGCATACTCCGTGATCACTTGACGGCGGCATTGTCACGTACGTAAGGAGCTCGAGTGATCGACGAACACTCCGACTTATTGAAAATAGATATCGCGATACGAGAGGTGTGTGTACGAATAGAAAGCGTAAACAGAATTTTAACCCGTCCTCCAATTAGGTACTTAAATATTTTCTAATAACAAATCATAATATGATATTTACCTCTGGTGGAGCGGCGAACTTGAGGTTTGCGAGTGATCCATGCGATCGACTTCTGTGCTCCTGCCTGATGCTGTACGAGAACGCTCGCTCGTTCAGATGACCTTTTTTTCTGTATATACCACCGCCGTCTTCCACGGCCTCGAGACCCGTCATGCTCTGGGCGGCTTTCAGGGCCGGAGGGGGTGGTTTGGAGCGACGCGGGTCAACAGTAGCATATTGGAGGCGGCCTCGGCCGGGGGGGCCGGGGAAGGGTCCAGGGGCGAGGGCGGCTGGCACACGGCCCCGGTGCGACAGGGTGGCGGGGCGGGCATGCGGCAGGGTCGCCGCCGGGTGAGCTACCAGCACCATGGGATGCGCCGCCCACGACGGGGGCGCGCGACCCAGCGAACGCCCATTCATCATGGGAGCCGGCCCTGGCATTGTCGCGTACAACTCGTCAGCCGAGGCCGAAGACTTCTTCTTCGTCTTCTTTGTTGTCGAAGTCTTCTTCTTCGGCTCCTCAGGTGGCGGTGGCGGCGGTGGCACGGACGCCGGCCTCGTGATCTGTCGCGGTCGCGGTGCCCGCGCCGGGTGTGGAATGTCGTCGCTCACGTCGTCGCGATCCACCTCCCCGACCCACACTTTGTGATTCTCGTCCCCGTCAAATACTTCCAGCTCCTCGTCCGGTTCGGGTGGCAACTGCGACGGTGTCCGCTCCGCCTCCAGCCTCTTAGCATACGAACTGTCAGCGTATGCGTGGAAACAACACCGGACCAACGCGTTGGCTGCCGCCTCGCGACGACATATAAAGGCGTGACATTCCAAGACCTTTATGCCTTGTGTGCGACGTAGAACCGCCGCGAATAAAGGAGGACGTCGCGGGGCCGGCGCTCGGGCGAAGGGCGAATCCAAGGGTAAAAACCTCGGCGCTCCTTCAACAGTCACTCGGCGCACGGCCGCACAGTAATGTAGACTTGATATAGGGAAAAACCTAGCCACCCGAGAACCGCTCTCGTCCACATTCTCCAGCAAGATTCCATTTGACCAAACGGACAGCCACGAGTCGATGCCGCCGCTGGTTGCTCCTTTTTCCGGATACAACTCGCGCAGCGGTTCCTGAATGCCTTGAAGGCCGTCCTTGCTCTGCTGTGGCACCGCAGAGCCGAGGTAGAGCACGCGGCACCGACAGATGGGAGTCGATTCCATTTCGTCACTGCACAATCACAACATGACACCGAAACACTTGAAGCACTAATTGTTCCGTTGCGCTCGCGGAGTACGTGCGCAGGCCGCGAGACAGGCGCGGGTCTGAGTGAACGGAATTCAAGATGGCCGGTGGGTCGCTGGCGGGGCGCGGGGGCGCTATACCTGCGCTGCGCTTACGCACCTGTGAAGACGCCTCGACTCGACTCGACTGTAGGACGGCGAAACACGGCCTGACGCCCGAGCCCGCGCCAATGAACCGGCATTGTGTCAAACGATTGTCGCGAATTCGGCCGCATTTTCACTCAATATGCCGCGTCACATAATCAACGTGACGGAATGCCACACTTTTCAGTGTTGTTGCAGTGAAATCTGAAGGTCAGCTGACCGATGGGAGATCATTGTTTTCGTTTGTGGAACGCACTACGGGACGGAACTGTGAGGCGCATTCCATTAAGTTAATTAACAGTTAGGTAGGTGTGGAACAATAATGACAAGCTATTTGAGTAAAATAATTGTAATATTTTAATAGGTACTTGTTTTTTTTTTTATATTGAAAAATAACCATTTGAAACATATCCGCCTCCGGCGCACCAGAAGATAGTTGCTTCAACAAAGAAGGAATCGTGCAATTTCAATAAATTTTTCCTTAGTGAATTCTTACTCACTGCAGGAAAACAGCAGTTCAAAAATAGTATTATTTAGCTATGGTCTTGGGTTATATGGAGGTACTTTAATATTTTCCCAAACAACACTAAAATTCGAGTTTGAAATCTGCATTGAGTAACTTTTATCTCCATTACCTTCCCCTCAAACCTAAAAGAGTAATGTGATAAACTCATTAATAACTATGGAATAAATCAGAAAACAAAAAAATTACACAATTTTAACCCGGACATGAAATTGTTTGCTTTATCAATACTCGCCACCGCCGGTGATATACGGCAAAGAGAAAAACTCGAAAGTTATACTTTTTATAAAAACTAACTTATCTGTAATCGTGTGGCGGAAAAAATTTCATGTTTTGTATGTGTCATATCTTTTTGCTTGTACTATAGCTCACAACACCACGTATAGGGTAATTTCCCGTTAATATTCACTTTTCTGCCCACCAATATAAGGAAATTCTATACATTTTGAAGTTTTATAAAAATCAAAATGCGATACCAACCGCGAAGCTTTTGTCAGTAACAATACCTACCTAGTTAGCACAAAGTTCGTGCAAACTTTTCAGTTTGGGAATTTGGAAGGGAGAAAATGCAGTCCTTTTTTCGAGTGCAGTCAATTCTGAAAAAGTAAGATCGGTATGTTTATCAGTTGATCGGTTGGTCAGTTTGACAATAAAATTATTCTGACACAATTGGAAAAGACAGGGCATTCAAATAGCAATTTAACAAACAAATTAACAAATAATATCGGGGTTGCACGAGCTATTGAAAGATTATTTATAGACAATGTACTTGCTTGCCATTTTCTGCTGAATGGAAAAAATAATGAAACCGAACCATTTTTGAAAAGTTTGATTACACCCATTCTAAAGAAACACCCTATAAAATAAATTCATACTTTGAAGTTAGTTAAAATTTTAGGCATGAATTTAACCAAATATGCAATACGTTATACGTTCTACACGACAAAAATCGCAATGACTGTTGAAGGAGCCACTAATGGATTTTGACTATTCTTAAAAAGTCCAACCATATTCGAACTAACGAAATCGAAAATGAGATAACTGGTCATGAAAAGTGGATTACTTACCTATGAAAAGAGGATGCGAAAAAGATGAATCTCCACAGACTGTGTTAACATATAGTAAGTTAATACTGTGCGTAAAATGGGAAGGATATGATTAATTATTACAACGTTTGATTCGTATCTCGTCTACAGCTAATTAGAGTCAAGCAAGGAAGTCACAAAAAGACGGCCGAAATTAACAAAAGAAAGTGTGAGACTTAATAAAACTAACTTAAAATATACCCTAACTTTTACTCATCAGATTCGATCCTATTTCAGTCCTATTCATGTTACATGTTAAAATGCATAAATTTACAATACACGATCACTAATATTTCGCCACTAAGCTAGAAAAAAGCACTACTAAACTAGAAAAAAGCACCACGTAAACCACTTGGACCTGTAAAGTATTTTTTTTTTCTAGCAAAATTTCCCTTACTTTTATAAGTAGTAAAACAATGATAGAGAACCTTAGATACATCACGTGTAGGGTTTGAATATAGAAATCTCGAATAAAACTATCTAAATATCGGAGCAAAATTGCTACATTTCAATTTCGATTTTAAATTTATGAATAGTGAAATTTTCGATACTGACCATTTAATGAAAATTAAAATTATTAACAATAAAGCATTTCAATTTTTATATTTATGTTTGTTTTTTTAAGCATTTAACTGATGGATGTTAACTTTATATTTTCTTAATTCAAATGAGCGAGATACTTTAATCTGTTTTTGCTTTCGCTAATGGCTTTGCAATAAACACATAATAAAAGAATCAGTAATTTTTTTCAATTGGCAAATTTGACTGGTAAATAATTGTAAAGTGACTCAAAAACAGCTCAATGTCCTCTTATTGATTTAAAATAACATTATAAACTCTATGAGTGACGCGGCGAGACGTACGTGTAAATGTAATAAAATAAATTGTAAAAAGAAACCAGTCGTGGGCTGGAATTATCACATTAAAGATATACATATACAAGCGAAGCAGGCATATAAACTATAGTTACAGCACGGTCGGCCAAAGCAAGGAAATATTTATATTAACATGTATGAAACTAAAAAGAAGTTTAAAAATACATTAAAATGGTGCCAAAATAATGAAACTCAATTAAAAATGGATATTATTGCCGCGCAAAGATCAAAATGCGATATTAAGAGTTTTTGGAAATCAACTAACAGCCTAGCGTGCCCGTCAGTAGAGAGTAAATAATCAAAGGTATATTAATGTCTTTATAGGTACATTACTAGTACAAAGCTATTGACAATTAAAGCGTATCGACTCATTGACTATCAACCTTGACATTGCCAAAGCTTTTGGCAAGGTCTAACACAATATTGTATCTTGTAAACTTCCGACAAACGATCCGCCTGTCCGGTTATGTGCATATCTGAGGTTCCGCTTCCTGAATGAGCGTAGAATTCGTTTCCCTTTAGTATATGTTTTGGTTTGTCTGTATTAATCAGTGTTCCTCAGGGTTCCACTCTGTACCCTGCACTATTCTTGTGGAACACTTTGACAAACTTGTGAGAAGCGGGAAAATCTGCGCATTGAACTCAAGTCGAATTTAAAACACATTCATAACCAAGAAAAATAACATAATATTACGCCAATGAAATGATCAAAGATGCGACACTGATATGTATGAATTCTCGGACCAATTCAGCGTTCCGTCACACGATTATGTTTACTATCACAATGGATGGGCATGCTCGCTCCCTCCTAAACGCCCACCTGGAAACCTCTGTTTTTAACACATTAATTTTAGAATAAATGCTTGTTCAACTGGATGGCTAAAAAATCCTCCGCTACGCCAATGTGGATAGCCCTAATTATGTTAGTTAAAACCAGTAGTAAAAGCAGGCTTATCATCTACGAGTTTCCGAAACTTCTCAGTCTGTTGATAAACTATTAACGGCTGCAGCGGTTTATTTTGTTCTCAGCTAACTCTCTAGTTAACGTTGCACTTGGAAAACAGTTTCATGATGAACTAAGTGCGAGGTTTCTTCAGAACCAATTAATTATACCTAAGTAGGCGACCAAACGAAATTCGTAATAAATAAAAACCTCATTAGGTTCCACTGTTTATTGATGGAAATATATATGTACAAATTCTCAACTTACGACCAAATTCGGAAATGCCACACAATATTTGAGAACTTAATGAATAGCCAATATAACAAACAACGGAGCAGAAAATAAATCTTTCCTTTATTATCAATTTATATAAATGCAATAACTATAAGACAATGCAATTAACGCATGATGACCTTCGTGGTTAATTTGTTTGTACGCCGCGCCGGTTTTAATACATTCAGAGGTACTATTCATACCGCTGGGGGTACCAGATATGGCGGTAAATATATATCTACAAAATATACTCCAGGAACTCGAGTAGCTCCCAAATACTGAGTGACACTTCTGTATACTATAGTTAATCAAAACGAAACTACATTATACTATCATTTATAAAATTCACGTTCCATTTAACACAACACACACAGTGTGTGATTCAATTACTTCTCTAATGGCCGTTAGCTTTATCCTATCCAGAGTAACAGATATTAACCATCTTTAGTAAGTGTCAACTTAACCGAATAAGGAATATATGTATTTTTTTTATCAAAGTAACAATTGTTATGTATTAACCAATAATTAACAAAAATATTTAAGAAAATAACTCAGGGGTCTTAAATGATAACATTTGTTTGAAACGATAATTTCTCATCTAAGTGATATATTTAACTCTTCTTTACAAAACTGACAAATTAGATGATTCAGGAATTTAATATTAGTTTATATTTAAAAACGAATTATTTGTAACAAATTAAAACGTGAGAACTTCCCATTTTAGAAGCCCTGATAAGTTGCTCTGGGATGATAGGTTACTTTTTACAGGCCATAGATAGGAAGTGAGAAGATATTTTTATTTTATTGCTGGAACTTTGGAGTTTTGAAGCCAGGCTCGTCGCCACTCGACTGTGGTGCTTTTCTCTTCTGTATGATGTTTTGAATCTGTCACATGACAAAAAAGAAGTGAATGGGAAAGAATTTCTATAACTACATCCTTAATATAATTTAAACGATTTTTTATAATAAATATAATTTATACAGCAACTACATATGTAAATGTTTTTCTATGTTTTCTTATATGTTCTTCTAAGGTCGCCACGGGGCAGAACAGATAATCAAGGTATCCCAGAAAACATCTTGAGCAATGACCATAGACAAGGAAGCTTGCTCAGTAACAATTTTTCATACTAAACCGTCTACTGCGCAACAATATTTGCCTATGGTTTTGGTCAAGAAGTTTGCCGCTATCTATAATTGTCTACCATGCATGCATATTGCAATTTTGGTAACTTGCCATGACTAAAAGTTTGTTTACATGTCCCTTTTGATATAAAACTGACAACTAGTCTTATTTACCTGTTCATAATTAATTGGAATCAAAAAGCAAGAATGTTAATTTTTGGAAATAATATAATTGGAGTCACAACTAATCAAATTTAGTCCTTCGAACCGGATTAAAAATTTGTATCCATAAATCAATTGTTATGCTTCAGCATTTTCGGCATTAAACTGATAACTCCAGGTTAAATATTTAAGCTATTCATAATTGGTACCAAAAAATAAGAATTATTTATTTACGTATACGCAGGAAACTTTCGTAATTTGGTAACTTTGGTCCTTCGAGCTGGATTTTAAATTTGTAACTTTAAATCAATTCCTATGCTGCAGTAAATATTTATTGTGTATGAAACTTAGTTAATTAGTTACCTTTTGCCATTCCCTATCGAGTTCTGCCTTCTCGCTCTTGTCTTTGGTCTTCCTTGTCTTGCGTCCGTCCTGAGTCTTCACTCCGTATTGGAATGCGGCTTTGGGCAATGCCTCTTTACTACTCATATAGGCCGAATATTCTTCTTGCGTATCGAAATCCCAACGACCTGAATTAATCAATACGAATATGAAAAATATCAATTTTGTATTCTTAAATTTTTAATATTACTACTCAATACTTAATGCAATTTTGGTGTCGATTCCGGCATAGTTCTCCAAACTTAAAACTACATCGGTCTCTCTTTTTCATAATGTATAGATAATGACAAGGATACACTATTGTCAAATTTAAGTTTAGGTTTAGAGAATCACGCCGCCAGAATCGACGACCTTTGTCTGCTTAAAACAACTACCATTTACTCCGTTATATGAAATAAGTCAAATAATCTTCATTAAGTTCCCATTAATTTAAAAGAAAATATAAATTATCCTTAAAAATCCACAACGAGACTTCGCGATGCGAGCGTCTGCTGCCACGCGTATAATATCACTATAACTAAGTGGGTGATGTTTGCATTTTGTGACTAAAATGTCCAGACTTTTATCGAAATGTCCGGATTATTGTCAGGATTTTTCACAATTTTAAATAGTAACCCTAGTCACAGCCCAACCTCCCTATTCTATTGGGAAGACCTGTGCCCCAGCAATGGAGACATTAATAGGATACAAAAAATACTTACCGATAGGTCCTTTCTTGTTGCCAGCGTCCATTTTAGTGTAGTCCACTTCGTCATCAGAGTCATCTATGGCGTCGTCCATCTCTCTCAGGCCGGGATAGCATTCGGCATATCCTTCCGGTTCCGCGGCCAAGCGGGAGAGCAGCGCGGCCGATCGTTTGTCTCTCTCTTCCGCGCTCGCTGGTACTTGGCGACGAGGCAGTGGACCGGGACCTTGCAATACACATTTCATTTATTTAAACACTAGCGGCCGCCCGCGACTTCATACGCGTGGAGTTACACACATCAAAAGTGTCTAGGGATCAACATATATTTTTGCAATAACTTTTCTCCTGATTGATATTAATTAAAATTTTCTTTAAGGATTCATCAAATAAAGTGTTTTCGTTTGTCACAGTAACGATAAACCAAGTCACCTTTGCATTAATAAAGAAATTTGCCATTTTCCTAATAAAGGGATTTTTGACATTTGAACCACTAACACAAAAGTTCGAAAAAAAGACTGAAATAACAGTTTTCTCTAAAATTTTATTGTGTAACTTAAACAATTAATAATCCGTATTTCTACCGCGAACACTAACAACACAAGAACATCGGTTTGGCATACTCAAAATGAGTTCATCCAAATCACGCTGTGGAATGGCCGCCCATGTTCGTTGCAACAACAAAAAAAGGTCTTCTTGCGACTGGATACCCTCCATATTCGGCAGAGCTCTTCTCTGTAGCATATCCCATGCATGCTCAATCGGGTTCAAGTCTGGCGACTGAGCAGGCCAGGGCAGGACATTGATGTTAGCTGCGGCGAGAGTCTGTCTTACAACTCTTGCGGTGTGCGGTCGTGCATTATCATGCATTAACTGAAATAAGGGACCGATTTGCACTTGTAGAGGAACGATGACGTCTGATACAATCGTCTCAGCATAAATTTGAGCGTTGAGGTTGCCTCTGATCCAAATCAACTCAGTTCTTCCGCCGATCCAAATACCCGCCCATACCATGATGGTTCCACCACTATAAGGATGGACTTCCTGGCAGGATTTTAATCGCTGTTGGCGTCCAGGGGTTCTCCAGTGTCGTATACGTCTTGTATCCGGTCTCATACCAAAACGAGACTCATCAGAAAAGCACACGAAACGCCATTGTTCTTCTGCCCAATTTCTGTGTTCAAGAGCCCATTGATATCGAATCCTACGATTGTGCATTGCTATAGGTGGTACCCGTAGCGGTCTTCGGGAATGAAGGTTCACTTCATGCAAGCGGTTTCTGACTGTTTGGTCGCTAATTAAGTTCCCTGAAGAGTGATGAAGCCTCACGGCTAACATCATGGCGGTTATTGTTGGAGCTCTTCGAGTTAAGATTTGAATGTATCGGTCTTGTCTCCGTGTGGTGCAGCGATACCGTCCTCCATGGCGCTCAGCCACGGTACCAGTGCTTCGGTATCGTGTCCAAAGTCGACTGATAACACTCTGACTTGTATTCAGAGCTAAAGCCACAGTACGTTGCCGGGAACCAGCTTCTATCATTCCCACGGCTCTGAGCATTTCTTCCCTGCTTAAATGACGTCGCCGCTCCATAATAACGTTGGTTTTAATCAGTAGTAGGGAAACAGTAGCACTAATAATGTCTTCAATGCGTTGTATGTTTTTATAGGGAAAATATTGACAGCTGATTTTCATCTTTTACTCGAATTTGATTCACAGTTCCTGATTCAAATTATGAAATGCACCAAAAAGGATCCATATAAATTTATAAAATCATAAATTTATTACAAAGCCACATCTCAATCTCAAGAAATCCGCATAAAAATGCTTGATCCCTAGACACTTTTGATGTGTGTAGTTATTTGCACATACTTTGATCCCAAAAGGGTTCACTGCTCGTTCCCCGTAGATGATAGCGTGATAATATGTAGCCTATATGTTGACCCGACTTCTTAATAATATTCGTGCCAAATTTGAAGTAAATCCATGCAGTACTTTTTGAGTTTATCCCGGACTTACATACAGACTTACAGACAAAAATTCTAAAAACTATATTTTTCGCTTCGGTATCAATAGTAGATCACACCCCAAGTATACTTTTAAAAAATATTCAATGTACAGTTTTGACTTTCCTACCATTTTATTATTTGTATAGATCACTTTATTTTGAGGATGACTAAATAAATGTACGTACACCAATACAATAAAACAAGATTTGTATCTTGTTTTCTTGTATTGATGTACGTACATTTGCATCAATGATCCATACTAATATTGTAAATGTCTGTCTGTCTGTTACTTATTCACGCTAAAACCGCTGATCAGATTTAGAGGCAATTTCTTATAAAGGTAGCTCAAGACCCGGGAAACGACAAAGGATAGTTTTAATCCTAGAAAACACACAAAGAGGAGTTGAAATGTGTATGGGAAACCAACTTTTCAACGCAAACGAAGTCGCGGGCAACCACTAGAGTTTAATAAGGCATGCATTACAAAACAAGGCATTGAACATTTTTCTATGTAATCAAAGGTGATAAGTGGAATTTATATGGCTAACTTTTTTTAAACATTTTTAGTTTCCCTTGATGTAATAAATGTAATGTATGAAGATGTAATAAATCATTTCATTCGGTTCAGAATCACTTGATCTTGAGTAATTATAAGAATACAGATATTTTTATGTATGGGGGGAGGATTAAATGGCGCAACTGATTAGCGCGTTCTGTCTGAAAATGTAGTTAAAGGAGGCTAAGGAACTTCCGCAATGGTCGGTCATCAGATGGGTGGCTAAACATTTACTAATTCGAGCTTCGGAAGGCACGTTAAGTCGTTAATCCCGGCTGCATCAGCCCCTCTAGCATGACCACCGAAACGGGATATGATAAAGCGATATATCGACATTAACTGTCAGACTACTGTCAAACTCCATAGTAGTCTGACAGTTAATGCCGATATATCGCTTTATCATATCCCGTTTCGGTGGTCATGCTAGAGGGGCTGCAGTCGCTGACACCCCTTATTTTCCTGTGTACCTTTGACCATGAAAGAAAGAAAAAATACTTAGCCAATAAATACTCTTTGAAAATTTACCTGATAAACGAAGAAAACCAACAGTTCACACAGTCATCGTCTCTATTATTTCAATATTCACCTTGTTCCTTATCCACATCGAGCGGTTTGTCGAAGTAGCCAGTGCGGGGCCGCTCATCTCTCCTGTCGGCCCGTCTGTCCCCTGGAACGTACTCCCCGATTTGCCCGTATATAGAATCGTCTACCCGGCCCTTTTCCGTCGTCTTGTCCTGAACAAATTTCACAAGTGTTAATTTAATGATAAGTATGAAGGTTAAAATAGTATGAGATGAGATAGATGAGATGATGATGAGAGTAGCACAAAATCGGGAGCAGTGGCGTGCATTAGGGGAGACCTATGTCCAGCAGTGGACGAACATAGGTTGATGATGATGATGATGAAGGTTAATGTCAAAATGTCTTTTTTAAATTGGATACCATAGTCTTTTGAAAAACAAAAAAATCAAATATATCTATCCTTCCTTCCTATTGAGTAAATGAAAACCTCAGAACAAGAACTAAAACATAGAAAGAGATTAAATTCAACTCATAAATCGACTCTTGTCTTGTTGTATTGTATTCTTTCTTATTTTCACATATAGACCAAAAAAGGGATAAACATTATGTTGCAATAAACCATACTATGAACAGCGTGCGTACCGATATACAAACATCTTTGTTACTTTTGTATGCCTTGTGTATCTTGGTTACCTTTACGATACCCAATCAAAAAGCGATAGAATGTCAAACGCAACCTGCCAACACGCCACTAATACTTTTTGGTTGGGTAATATTTTCTTTGGAAATCTTTTGTCTATGGGAGTGTACGCTCAAACTTTCAATCAGTCAAAAATTGTGTCTATCGAGCTTTGTCTTCTTCTGCTTCTTATGCCTACCATAGCGGAGATACGAGAATATTTGCGCTATTTTGTCCAGAACGTCCTTTGAGCTGGAAACGTATATCAGGGCTTAACTAATAGGGATTATTTTTTAGAGATTATCTACTGACCTTTATCTTCTTCTGCTTCTTATGCTCTTTATGGCGCAGATACGAGAATAGTTCGCGCTAGTTTGTCCAGAACTATGTCGTTTGAGCGGGATACCTACAGCAGGGCTAAAACTAATAGGGATTTCTTAGAGTTTATCTACTGACCTTTGTCTTCTTCTTCTTCTTATGCCTACCATAGCGGAGATATAGAGAATATTTGCGCAAATTTGCCCAGAACTATGTCGTTTGAGCTGCAAACCTACAGTAGGGCAAAACTAATGGGGATTCATTTTTAGAGATTATCTACTGATCTTTGTCTTCTTCTGCTTTTTATGCCTTCTTCGCTATTTAGTCCAGAACTATGTCATACAAACTGGAAACCTACAGAGGGGCTAAACTAATAGGGATTCATATTTAGAGATTATCCACTGCGAAGAGACGAGAACATCTGCGCTAGTTTGCCCAAAACTATGCATTTGAGCTGGAAACCTGCAGCAGGGCTAAACTAACAGGAATTATTTTTAGAGATTATGTACTGACCTTTGTCTTCTTCTGCTTCTTATGCCTTCCATGGCGGAGATACGAGAATATTTGTGCCAGTTTCTCCAGAACTACATCATTTGCACTGGAAGCCGAACTCCTTTCGTCCAGTTCGGGCACATCCGCCTTGCTTCGGGTGAGAGTGGTGGGGATGTCGCTATCGATAGTGCCTTCTTCGTCTAACTCCACTACGTAAGCCATGCGGCCAGGGGCGAATAGTTCGTTGCGAGTCACTTTTTTGTTCCTGATATGAGAAAACTCATCTGTACTATCCTGCTATATCCTACTAATATTGTAAACGTGAAAGTTTGTGTGTTTGTCTGTTTTTGTTACTCAATCGCGCAAAAACTACTGAACGGATTTGGATGAATTTTAGTACACATATAGTTTATGACCTAGATTGAGACCTACAATACTTTTTACAACGAAAAAGTGTCAGGTTCCTGAGGGATTTTCAAAAAAATAAAGTTAACGCAGACATAGTCGCGGGCGGCCGCTAGTATATAATTCTACAGATCTGAAATTTCGTGGTTGTTACCCAACAACGCAATAACAGCTGAACGGATTTGAATAAAATTTGGAAGCTAATAACTTATATTTTCAATAAATAATTCACTGTCTATAGAGCCCTTCTTTCGATATTTTATTTTATTCTGCAACTTACTTTTGCTCCAATACCATGTTATAAATATTTTTGCCCATTTGCGTTTTGAACTGCATCTCTTCCTCTTGCTGAAATATTAAACCAAACAATATTTACATGAAAACCTTAATTTATTTAAAAAAAATACTTTACGAAATCAGAATATAATTTGTTTTATGTTAAAAGGGTGGCAAACAACTATATGGCCTGTCTGATGGTAAGCGGCCACCAAAGCCTAAAGACGCTTGCAAGACCGAAAATATCAGTCGCGCGTTGACCCAATCCCTACCCAAGGGGGTTCTGGAACCTTAATCACCGAAAGAAACACAACACCACCTAAAGATAGTGTTATTTTACCTTTGACACATTTTGCTTATAAAAATAAAACAAAGTCCTCAGGTGCATCTTTCTCTCTATATGTTCACAATAACCTCAAAAACTACTTCCTAAACTTATTTTCCTGCTGATCTCACCATGACTTAAATAATGTTTCATAGGACTCTTATGTATACTACAGGCACGAAAACAAAAACTTTTGTCCACAGCTACACACAAAATGAGACAGTTAAATAGTGTCTTATTATAATAGAACAATAACATTTTAACACAACAAAATTCAATCTTTGAAAGAATCATATTGACAAAACATGTTAAATACTAACATAATCATTAAAAATGAAATCAAAACTTCATTATTATTTAAAGTTTTAAGGAAAACACAATCTAATAGACAAATTACCAAGAGAGGTAAGGTGCTGGGTAGAAGACCACAATAAAACAAAACTAAATTTTGATGTTATTGTATGCTCAGACCAAATAAAAAGTATAGACGGAGTCTGCCGAACCAAAAAGTGAAGCCGATAAAACTACGCCTCGCCGTGTAAATACACAGTTACACGCACACACATGCAACGAAACTACGCCTTGGCTTCTCAGTCGAGCTATCCCGACGCGCGGAGTGTGACGTAATAATAAATAACAATATTTATTAGAGAAAATGCCGAATTGTGTAGTGAAAACGTGTAAAAACCAATCTTCTAAGAATAAAAAACAGGATGGAATCACATTTCATACGTAAGTAAAGTTATAAACTGCTATTTTCAATTAATCAAAATCAAATTTGAGGTTGTCGCTTTGTAAACAAAACCTGAACGAAATGTTGCCATGATTATTCGTTACAGTTTTACCCTTTTGTTGGGTAGCGTGAAATATAACGTAACGTTATTTTATTATATACATTGTGTGGCATACTTTTATATTATTCGAATATTGTAATGCATGGATAAACAAATACACGAAACATCTTTTTTCTTTATGTATTCGTATAAATTTTTTGGGATGTAATACACATTATTTAATATACGTTCTTTTTAAGATTTCCTAATCGAGATCAAGATCTAAAAGAGAAGTGGATTGCAGTCATTCGTAAGAGTAGAAATGCACCATTGTGGCAACCAGCTTCCCGCAGCGTGGTTTGTTCGACTCATTTTCAGAGCGACGATTTGTAAAATAATAATATATTTGTAATTTTATTTGTATTGTACTTTTTAATGGCCTTTTTGACCCAAAATTCGCGATGTTTGTGGATTTATTTTATTATGTTCTTGTATAGGAACTAGTGATTATATTTTGTGTATTCTATAGAAAATTTCATGTACATTTTAATAAAAGAAACTGTTTATCAACATTTGTATATGCTTTTCGTTTAATCGACATAAAGTTGAGATGACTGATTTGTAAGCGATTTCAAGTGCCTTGTTGCGAGTGCTTGAAACTATAAAATGAACTAACCTATTCCATCCGAGACTTGTAACTAAAGTAAAATAAACAATCCAACATAATTAAACGTCAACACATAAATCAAGGCACTTGGATCTCGCATTTGTTTTTATCAACACTTGAAACACGACCCTTTTTTTTCTGTTGCGTGTTATATTTTATAATTGTATTTGGTAAGTTATTATATACATTCATTCATATATGTACAAAAACCTGGATTTATAATTTACAAATTTTGAAAATACACCTCATTTTACCTATTTAAACGACTTTTTTTATCTTTCCTGAGTTTACCATAATGTAATTAAAATAAATTATAGACATGACGCATTGTGTACACACTGTTTTATTGAAAATTTTATGGAGAATCCAAATATACGTTTGTGAAGGGTATTTTTACAAAATAACAGAGAAATCGGCAGAACAATGCAATCGTTCCCACCCAGCGGGCGGGCGGTCCATAAAGAAGTCCGGCACTTGTAGGTGAGATCGGCGCATGACCTTTGGCTCACGAGAGGTTTAGAGAATAAGCTTACGATATTTTTTTCTAATGTTTTATAACGTTATTAAAAATGTAATAACGTTATGAAATAACGTTATTACATTTTTCTAATATTGGGGTGTTTTATATGACTATGGTAACACTGGCTAATGCACTACATACATAAAAAACCGGCTTCACTTTTTGGTTCGGCAGACTCCGTCTTTACTTTTTATTTGGTCTCAGATTGTATGGCACATTTTTCCACATCCACATCACCTATCATTGTCTGTCGGAACCGTCTGTCACTTCTTTATCCCAGGTTCTTCTTTTATTATTCATTTATTATCAGGCAACATAGGCACATAGATAGACCTTAAATTCTAACATATACAGATATCAAACATATTAAGACCTAATTAAAAGCAATGTGTTATGTGGAGTGGTGTCCAGTCTCGGAATCGCCGGAACACAACACCTTTCGGACAAAGATCTTCCTTCATGAATGTCGCCAAGTGTTCGGTCGGCACCCTCATCACAAATGAATTGAAATTCACGTTTTGGCGAGACTCCAACCGTTCGACTTTCAGGGAGAACTTCGTCTTGATCCGCAGATACGGGGTCATCCATAAAGTAAGTCTATTATAATTTTTAATCAACTAATTTCGTGATTTTTTCTGTCATTGTCACAGTTGGTCCCATTTACAGAGTTCATTCACATATTTTGCAAACAGCAGTTCCGAAAATGGTTCCGAAACTTATGCAACAAGACCAATTAAAACGCATAACCCCTTTTTAATAAAGGAATTCTAAGCTTGGATTAGTTACGCCATGTTTTGTATCTGTTCATTGAATGACAAATGGCATAAGGTGATGTAACAAAACTAGTCTAGGCTTATGCCTCGTTTATAAGATGGTGTATTATAATAAGGGCGGTTACAGATAAAGTTCTAATTAAAAGTTTTTTGATGACATCACGAAACTTAAGACTACCCCAGCCCTTGTCACAGTGTCACATTTCGTCGACCCCTCCCTCCTACTTAACGTATGACGTACTTTATGAATGACCACTACTCTACGATCTCCTCAGCCTTCATAGAGTAATGCACCTTCAATGCTTGCAAATAAGGCATCAAATTAACAAGTTATACTCACCACTACTTCCTTCTTCTCTTTGACAGGTTCAATGGGAGCAGACACAAGTCTCTCCATTTCCGCTTCTTGCTCCTGTTCTCGAGTCTGAATCTCTGACCGCACCTAAAATTGATTAATTGCAATTGAAGCAAACTGCTGCACTTAAATAAATTTCCTTGTTGAAATGTTTGAATAACATCTAGCAGTTAAATGCTTAAAAATTTAAAATATAAAGAAAATTTTAGAAAGAAGAAATCCACGGAAACCAGACAACAGATCCTCCTGTGCTATCCAAATGGATGTACTAACCATTATGCTACCGCGGCCCTAATGGCCATACCCAATTTCCTCTAGTATTTCTTAGGATGGCGCACATCTCTTTGAATTGTAGGTAACCCACGATAATGATATGTAAGGATAGAAATCAACTGTAAGAAGTGGAACACATAATATAAAAATACTAACATAAGTTAAGGAAATTGTTACTAACATTTTAACCTATTACGAGGCTTTATCTTGAAAATATATATTTTATTTATTTAAAATCTTATATTCTATGTTTAAGTTCTATTTTTTATTTTTTTAAGCATTTAACTGCTACATGTTTAAATCTATTCTGTGTTTTACTTTTTATAGTTGATTATTTGACAAACATTATTTACCTTTTGCAATAATGCATAATCCAAACCTTTCACCAAGTGAGTATGCTCCATGTCACCACCAAGATATTTTGATTCCTAAAAATGGAAACAAATATGTATTGTAAATTTAACAAAGTTTTAAAAAGTAAAAGAGTGCACTTTGATTGCGACAAAGTTACCTGAATGAGTTGCCTTCTTCTTTCTTTTGCATCCATTCCTGATTTGAGATCAGGTGCTACAGCCCTGAAATTCAAATATATTAGCCATTAAACTTAATTTTAATGAAATTATATACTAATTGAAATATAGAAGATCCAAACTGTCTTGCTTGGAACATCTGTTTTGATTTTACAAAAATCTCCCATCTTATCCTATACAATTTCGAGAGGATTCAGGTAGAATAAATTACATTAGTATAGCAAAAAAACAGTGAAATAAAACTTGCAGCTGTTGTCAGGGCTATGTTATGGCTTACTCTTACAAAAGAAAAACATTTGCAAACTGATAGAGTAATGACATTCATAAAAGCTTGTTGCTCTAACTTTCTGTTATCATAAATGGTGACTAAATTTTGGCTTACTTTATACCTAATTCTCATTTTAGCAAACAATTCGGTAAATGAATTTATGAATGATAAGTGAAACCATCACGGAATGCTCACTAACTTGTTTGAAACTGAAACTGTTTAGTAGTTGCGTAGAAATTTATTTATATTGTACTTGCAACACCCTGACAGGGTCATTTACCATGCTTAAAATAATTTCAAGATCCTATACTGTACATGTCCAATTAATAAATTAATTAAAGTCACAGTATCATTTCAGACCCTATTTAAAATTTGTCAATGATTTGTAATAAGGTAGCCTACTACATACTTACTTAAAAATCAAAGAGAGAAAAAAAATATTAGATCATGAATAGAATCATGTAGATAAATCTTACAAGGTAAAGTAATGAAAGTGGTCTATTAAAGGTATAGTGATCGCACACACAGTGCATTATTCTTACCTATATGCACTACTTGTATTACTTGTGGGATCAGCAGGACCAATCTCATTGGAACCATCTCGTCTCTCACGTGCTCTATCTCTGTACTTTTCAGCTAGTTCAGCTAATTTGTTATCCTCCTGTTTCTTGAGAGCGGCATAGTAAGATTTTTTCTTACGGCGCAATTCACTTTTGTTTTCTGTTGGTGGTGGCATAGATCTAAAGAAGAAGGGGTTAGGTACCATAAAATATACATTGTATGATGATTTAAAAAGGTAAAACCCTTAGAAACATAAAGAAGTACAAATTGTCATTACCCAGCATTAGCCATTGCCTCCCTTACTGAGCCGGCAGGATGAGCACCTCCTGCCGGCGTAGACCTTGGTGTCATAAGTAGTTTCCTGAAATCTTCATTTGTAAGCCTCTGAGAAGCAGGAGTATCCTCCACACTTCTATCAACCTCCATTTTCACAATAGTTTACACCAATTCAGCACTTCACTGTGAATAGAAAAATGAGTATTGAAATTCACGTCAATAAAAAGTTGATAATTCTCTCTTAATATCCATTAATTTTAAAGAATACAGTTAAAGTTACTCTACCAGAACCAAAACATACATACCATAAATCCAAAATTGATCCAGACAGATGACACAGAGATTACAGAAATAATTGACAGGTAGTCAGGGACCATAGAGGTATAAGAATAGAGTGGGGAAAGGCGGCTCTACGAATTTCCTCGAATGAGGTTGAGTCGGGTGGAGTAAATCTCGAGGAAACGACTAAGAATATGGGTGTAAAAGTGTCCGTAGCTCTCTCTCCCTTGTGACGCCTGGCATCCAATGGCATTACATCGAAATAGTAAGAGGTTTGCGGTTGCCAATGCGCATGCGCGATTAGAAAGAGAAAGCTAGCGGTCTCTCATCTTCTTTCTCTTTCTATTACTTCCACTTGTAGTAGAGTCTATCACCCATATTCTTAGTCGTTTCCTCGAGATTTTTTCCACTCGACTCAACCTCATTGGAGGAAATTCGTATGCTTAGACAACAAAAATATCCTTCACTTGAGATATTCCTCACTCGAGTGGAGGTCGAGTCGAGGAATAAACTGTCAAACTCAAGGTAGCTCTCGACGTACCTTAAGGCTTCCTCGAGTGGTGTTTTCAAGTTGCTTTTATCGAGAATTATGTCTGATTTTGAGATTATTGACGAATTTGTGGATTTTATGGATTAAGTATACGATTTATATATTTATTTATTCAGTAACACATACACGATGATTAACCATATAATTATCCGGCGCGACGGTATTTACGTGATGCCGCAAATCCTTTTAAGGTTTACGACAATGATTGGTTTCAAAGAAGATTTCGGTTTAGAAAAGATACAGTCATACAAGTAATATTTCCTCTGTTAACCATTATAGAAATAAAATCCTCCAAATGATGACGTCACAATGTTGAGGAATTCTCGGTGGAGGAATTCTCAAGTTTGTTCAAGATACCAACTAGAATACCATTTTCGAGGTTATTTGGAGGAACTCCTTAAGGAGCCCTCGAATGAGTTTGAGTCGAGGAACGTTAGAGGACGCGATTAAGAATATGGGTGTATATCTCCTCATCTCTATTCTTATACCTCTATGGCAGGGACAGATCAGAGCAGTGTTGCCAGAGCTGGAAATTATAACCGGGGTAAGGTAGGTTCGAAAATGCGGATTTTCAAACAAAGTACCGGATTTTCAATTTTAAAGAGGGGCATTTCTTGTTTTATGGCCTTATCTTATTATCTTAAGATTGGCACCACATTGACGTAACGATTCATACCATTATACCTAATCATTAAAACTACGGACTACAGAACAGATTATACTAAACGAATGAAACGATGAAATTGAACTTACACAGTGAACAAGATATTGTGGCACGTCGCCGATACTGAAACAAATTTTAGGAAGGTATAAAAAGCCTTTTATTTGAAGAGGAAGGTGGAAACACGTTTTATTTCTTAAGGCGTTATCACTGTAACCATGCTAAATGTATGTCACTGTAGCCCTAAGACGCGTCACGTCTCGTATCAACACAACAGATAAGTATTATTTTAGGTAGTTCTCGTCGATTGGCTAAGCTTGGTCTGAGTAACTTGACTCCAGTCAGTGGCGTAGTGTGCCTTGGCGGAGCCCCGTATAAAAATTTGTTTCGGGGCCCTTAGGAAGGGTAAATATTTCTCACTAAAGAAAAAAAAAGAAATATTTACCTATTCATCATCATTATCTGTCACATTTTTCATTTTTTTTTACAAACAATCCAAATTAAATATACACTCTCCTTTTTTCGGCAATCTGATATATTAAATCATTTATGGCTGATGATGACTTTAGTTTTCTAAAGTTTCTCTACGGACAATAGTGACTCCGTGGTTTATCATCGTATCGTATGGTATGTACATCGATTATTGTGGGATTCCCCCGTTCAAGTAAATGACTTAAACGGGAAAATCCCGCAGCCCGCGATAACAGGTTGCGATTCAAATAAGAATAGGAAAGTGACAAACCTAAATTTGTGAAACGATGCTTGAAAAGTACAGTTTGCAAAAAATCGGAGCTAATCTTAGAATAAATACCAATCATTTGTAAACAAAAGAAGACAATAAATCATATGAAAGAATAGAAAATGAGTACTGGAAAAGGGAAATATAAGAACTTTAGTTTTATAAAGTTTTCGTTTTCAGACCTACAATAATCGATATTTTATTTTATAGCCGAAAGCAGCAGTGATAATGATGACGATGATGATAACTACTCCGACGGTAGTGCCGAGATGAGGGGAATTAAATTTTTATTCTGATTTAAGTTTTTTCTCACTCAGCCTAAATAAATAAAATAAATATTATTAAAAATCTGATATTTTTGCTCACTTAATCATGGTAAATAAGTTTTATTAAAGAAAACTTTTTGCTCACTTTATCTAACTGGTTTGAATTGACAGCTATGACGACACAATATAGCGCCCAGTCGGTCCTATTCTTAGTTGAATCGCATTGTAGGGAGTTGCTAATGCTCGCTTTAAGCGGGAAAATAAGAAATTGCATTTTTTGATTATTGTAATTTCTAAAAAAAAATTTGAGAAGTAGCTGAGGGCCCCTTATAATTGATACGGCAGATACGGCGGTAGCTACGCCACTGAATTCAGTAATGTATAATGGTAATGTTATCCAGTATGTTCCTAGCGTTAGGAATCTATCTTGGCTTATTTATCGATGCTACTCTTAGCTGGGAAGTTCATGTCCAAGAAGTTAGTCGGAAGGTGATCAATACACTACGAGTACTTTATCGTCTAAAGCACTTTCTCCCTTCCTGCACCAAAGTCGCACTCGCACCAATCTCTTATTCTCCCTATTTTCGACTACACTGACATCTGCTATTCTGACATTACTGAAAACCTTCTTATCAAATTGTATCGTTTGCTCAACTGCGGTATTCGTTTTGTTTTCGGGTTACGTAAAAACGACCACATTTCTCCTTTTAGAAAATAACTTTAATGGTTGCCTATGAATGGCCTAAGAAACCTTAGATTATTTTGCATGTTCTTCAAGTTTTTATACGATCTATGTGCTTCAGAGTACCTGAAATCTACATTCCAATTTCTAGGCACTTCGAATCAACGTGATCTTTGCTCGTGCAGAAATCTCACCCTACAAATTCCCGTTAATCATTCTGGCTTTGGAACTAAATATTTCACTATCACTGCCATACGCCTGTGGAATGCTCTACCACAATGACCACAAAGCATACGTAGTACTTACAATAAGTTTGGTTTCAAAAAACTTATGCGTGAACAGTTCCTGACTACGTGATTTTTCTCTATAGTTTGCATCGATATATATTATATTTATTGTATTTTAAGTATGTTATGTATATTTAAATATGTACCTACGTTTATGTATGGTTATATGAGTATTTTACATAATGTGCATCAATTTGTATTTATGTATCAATAGTTTTATTGCTGTTATTAAGTTAATTTCATTTTATTTAATTTTTTAGCAACTTTGACCTATCACCATACTATTTGTCTCTAACACGCATACTAGTTGACTGGTAGAGAATGCCTATGGCATTAAGTCCGCCGTTTGCTTATGTTTGGCAATGAAGTTTAAATAAAAATAAATAAGTGTAGTTCTGCTATTACACACTAAAACGTGCCCTTTAGTGAGGAGTTTTTTTAATAATTATATTATACGAGCTGACTGGTTACCTGATCACCGTTGCCCATGGACACCTGCAGCACCAGGAGTATCACAAATGCGATGCCGGCCTTGAAGGAAGGAGAACGCTTTTTTTAAGGTTTTGGTCGTATTGGTCCGAAAACACTGCTGATGACAATCTATTCCACAATTTAAACGTGGTAAAAAATTTAGGACCAAATCGCAAGATTAGGGATAGCCACGCATCAATGTACGATAACGAAAAGCAGCCGCTGGTATTAAACTGAACAATTCCTCTGAACACTCCACGTGATTAATGCGATAGAAGATGCAGACCGTAGCTACAGTTCTACGTAAAGCCAAAGGATCAAGCTTATCGGATAGGTTCTGGTCGTCAACAATTAGAACTACTTGGCGCTGGATGAGATACTGAGGGAAAAGCTGATACTGGGGTATTATTATTTCAATTTCAATTTCTATTGAGCATACTAAACTTCTTATATACGAACTCGGAACTGGATCTCGCTCTCGCTCGACAACGCAAACCGATACTAGCTGAGGCAGTAAGATGGGTGTTCTTAAAAAAGTAGGGATACGACTAATGGTAATTTTTTGCAGTAAACGTGCTTAACTGTGTCTTTTCAGGGTTACATTGGACTAGATTAAGTTGTCCCAATTTGATAATTTGCTAAGCAAAGTCTCAACTTCCGACACAAGTTTGTTCCTCTCTGTTTTCTCGTAAATTATTGGCATGGCCGGTTATAAGGCATCAACTCACCTGTGCTGTCGTCCGGATAGCAGTAAATTTGAAGAGTATCATTGATATGCAGAAGAAACAGTGTAGGCGATTGCACACAGCCTTGTGGGACACCCGTGCGTTAATTGATTTGAAGTCCAAGCGAGCACCGCCAATTACAACCCTGATGCTCATATCCCAAAGACAGTTTTGGCCTAAATGCACAGTTTTTCCGGAAGCCCAGAAGAAGGAAGCTTCGAAAGAAGCGCTTGCACAACGTGCAAAAAGTCGATATTGGTATCGATTATGGCAGGATTGTCTAAACTTAAAACTAAATTTAAGATCTGTCTGTCCTTTTCATTCTGTATAGAAAATGACAGGGATACACTGTTGTCAAATTTAAGGTAGTTTTCCAATTACAGAGCATAATGCGACTCAGTGGCGCTCAATGCCGAATTATGCTGATGCTTAATTGGAATGTGAATTAGTTTTCAAATGCACCTGCAGAGTGCGCTAAGTTCAGTGTTGAAAAAAAAGTCAATGTTTGTACCTTCATCCATACTTATATTTTTTTTAAACATAGTTTGAATGAACTTTGATAATTGAAAAAAAACTACAATGAAACGAAAGCTTCATTTTTCAACATAAATAATATTACTAACGATAATTTATAAATAAAACATTTCGATCAATGGCAACTTAAAGAAAAAATACTTGTTAATTTTCTGTCACTGAGTTGGTACGATTGCACGCATCACACGAAAACATTACTTTTGAGAGTGCTCGATTGTGCGAAGCGTTGCTGTAGTTGAAACATTCAACGATTAGCATTATGCCGCATAATGCGCTCTTGTGCTGTAATTGGAAATCTACCTAAGTTTAGCTTTAGAGAATCATGCCAGAATCGATACCAAAATATACCTAAAAGTATTAAAATTCTGATCGGGTCACACTGCGCCAGAGTACGCACGTTAATATGTTTCAGTCTGTTATCTGTGATTCTAGTATGTAGTATAGAGAAAAATAGAGTAAGGCTGATGGTCCACATTGTCTATAGTAGGTAATTTCCAGCCTCTTCAGCATTAGTGAAGTATTTCACTTATCGATATTTTATTTATTTATTGCGGAACCTTATGTACATAAAAGACGATTTACACTATTCATAAATTATTTATTTGAACAAGGTGTAGTTTTTTAAACTAGCAAATTTTCCAACCCCATCTTATGAATATTGTTACTTAAATGCAGTTGTGAAAATATGGCATTATGAAAATGTGAAGCTCAAGCCATTTTCATCTTGTCATTCCGAACTTTAACTTCTATACTGCGAAGCCCTTGTACCTTATTCACCTTCAGACACATTAAACTTCCAAAAGATGGTCTTATTATTTCGTCAAATTCTGTAAATGAGAGTGGGGACTGCAAACTCTCTCTGACAAATCCGTAATGTCCTTTAAATCTTGACGAATCACAAGTTATATTATGGTAAGCCGTAACTAAATCTATAACAAATCTATTGTAGCAAAAAGTAATGCCAAGTTAAACCAACCGAAGAAAGTAGTTTCTTTGGTTGATTTCGATTTGATAAAAGCAAAGTGTGTTATTCGAAGCTTCTTTTGATTCGCAAATATAAAATCAATAAGTGTTAGATTATCGATACGATATAAATGTTTTAGAGTTAATGCATCCCTATTCTGTTATCGTTGCAATTTGGCATTTTTTATTTACTATTTATCGTTCTTTGTTCCCTCCACCCACAGAAGAATATACTCTCTACGAGAGGTTCTATAAAATCTCCCTAGTGTGCTGCTACGTTTTAATCTTTCAAGCACCAGTGATTGGAAAGGTTTATTGGTGCTTTCCTTCCTTTGCAATATTTTTATACTTAGCTGAGTACTATTTAATTTACCTATTTTGGTCGCTATCTGTAAAATTTACCACGTACCTAAGAGTAATTTAATTGCAATTGAAATGGGATCAGAACAATCAACTTCTAGAAGAAGCAGGTAGGTGCCTACATGTTTTTTTGTAAATTGAATAATTAATCACACAGGTACCTACTTAATAACAAAGAAAGTAAAATAACAATCCAGACAAATATTAAATAAACTTTATTATTATTTATTATAATTACTTTCAGCGTACTGGTAACAGCGTTATATTATAGGTATTAGCTGTTTATCACTGATAGACTAATGCCATTGTTTTATTTTAACCATAGGGAAAACCTCACCAAAGATGATGTTAAAAATCTATTCGATGAACAAAAGAGACAGTATATATTACGTCTAAAGGCCCAGCAAATGAAAGATCAGCAAAAAGCAGAACAGGCTGCTAGGTGAGTATCAACATTCTTAAACAAAAACATGATGTTTAAGATGAAAAGTAAACACCATATCAACATATCTTCATTGGTCAGCAGGTCACTATCAAGTTCTAGACTGTCTCACCAGTCAAGCAGATGTTAAATCTGCAAACAGTCATTGGTGCTATTGGCTTTAATAAAAAACATGATGCATCAATGTATAGACTTTCTTTTCTATTTATGAGTATATAATCAGGATAATTTTGTACTTAGATTTTGAACTATGTAGGTATTCATAACATAATACAAGAAACATAAAACATGTTTATTGTAATTAAATGGATCTATAAGATAAAAGTAATAAGGTTTATTTTATTAGGTTCATTTATTAACACAAATTGTTTGAAAATAATTAGGAGCATGTAATGCCCTCAGCATCCATAACATAATACTTTCATAAAGAACTAATATTTCCAAAAATCTAATCTGGACAAATATATTTTATTTCAGAAGCAACCTTTTGAGTGAAAACTTTATTGATCAATTGTATTTTTGTATCTTTACCTTTATTTCACAATAATAAATTACATTAATTATAGTTTATTTTTCATGTAATGTGCTATTCTCTATAGGGCATCCCACGGGCTTATTACTCAGAGGGAAAGTATATTGAATAAAGGAACTGAAAATTACTGAAAGGAAACTTCATTTTATTTTTAGTAAAAAGTAGAAATGCATTCACAGTTTTAAAAAAAACATGCCTAAACCGGGAATCAAACTCGTGAAATGTGAAACAATAAAACACATGTAAAGTATAACGTATAATTAACTAATATAATTATAACTGACGAAAGGGTTAATCATGACGATTACTTTTTCCTAATTAACATCGCATTTTAAATAAAAGATAATACAGGAAAGGACAATGGGCAAAACACTATGGGAGTTGGGCCTGCTGACCAATACACATGAGATATTGTTCTTGCGATAGGTCATAACACACAACTGACGAGAAAAATAGTAAAAAAAATTAAATGTACCGGGTTACGTCGAAAAGTTTTATTTATTTAAGTTAAATATTTTGCAATTAATAATTGTTTTTCAATACGAATGAAGGAATATTACCCTAAAAGAGCACTGGAGCCACTCCCAAATGCTGTTGATTGCAATATTTGCAATTTCAAACGCCTCTTACGACATCCATCGACAACTACGTATAATATACAATAAATAAATAATATAAATACAATAAATGAAACAACAAGTTTTTTTACATTAGTCTATATCCAGAATAGTAGAATCTAAAAATGCGGCTGGAGGGTTAAATCCTTCGTATCTAGCTAAGCTCATATACCAAACTACGGATAAAATGTGCGCACAGCTTCCCAGCGTACGACTTCCGGTCAGACAAGTACAATAATATTGTAAAATAGAGCTGATGCCAGTTTGGTCTCTGTCAATTAATATGTAGCCACGATACTCGCGCGCCCTCGCATGTCGTGATTGAATATGAAGTCTAATCAAAAAAACATTTGTTTGAAAGATATTAAAATCTGTCAAATCTTCTAATTGATCGTCTCGATAAACCTCAATTATGTAAACGCCATCGCGTAAATGTTCACTGCAGTAAGACCTTGCCAGTTTCAATTGATATGTGCCCAGCGCGAAAAGGATTATTTCTTCCTCAGTCAAATGTGGAAAGTCCTCTATTTGATTGTCTTCTATTCTCACGAAAGAAATCCTTTGTCTGTTAAGATGCTTTCGCTCTACATATTCTTGCAAAATGTTAGGTGTGTGTACCCATTCCTGTACATAGAACTTTTATTACGTCCTCTAATAGTCGAAATACAAGTATTATTATTTTTGTAATAGGTATATTGTGTTATTATGATCCCATGTGGCTCTATGTGGTTAGAATTAGTGACTTTAGTCATTATTTTAAAGTAATATTCTTTCACTCCTATTGAAAAACATTTAATAATTGAAAAATATTTGACATAATTAAATAAAACTTTTCGACGTAACTGTACAAGAACCCGGTACATTTTTTTTTTTTTATTATTTTTCTCGTTAGTTGTGTGTTATGACCTATCACAAAAATAATATCTCATGTGTATTGGTCATTAGGCCCAATTTGACCATTGTCCTTTGACTTTTTTTAAAGAATTGAACACAAACGACAATAAGATAATGGTGCTAGGTTTTTATAATTATTGCTTTATTATTTTTTTCACATACTTATATATAGTAAGGTAATACTGTAATATTAAGTAAGCAGGTACTAGTTAGCAAATGCTTTGAAATGATAACATTAGCTGTTGGAAGCACAGAAAAGTAAGAGGAAATTTTCCTGAACAAATTTTTATTTAAAGATCTTCCTTTCTTTAAAAAAATAAATGTGAATGCAGTTCTAGTTATTATCAAAAATAAAATGATGTCTTCTTTCAGTAAAATATCCTATCTTCAGTATTTTATATACTTTGCCTCCATGTGACAAATGCATGGAATGCCCTGTATAGTCAAACATAATTTAAAATTTTTGAAATGTCTATATAGAGAAGCAGTACAAAGGGCAATGGAAAAAATGAGGCAAGAAAAAGTTATTGAGGAATCAACATCTAAACTAAATCAATCAGCAGGCCAACAGCCAGCAACTGCATCAAGGTGATCTGTATTTCTAAGCTGCCACACTGAATGAGTTTCTGCTTGTACTGCGCCGCGTCGCGTCGCATTTGCCTTAGTAGTGCAGCTGCATATTTTTTTTTGCCTTATTATTGTGCACATAAAAATCTTTAAATAAGTTATCATTACTGGTTCTCATACTGGAGGATGATATTTATTTATTGCTAGCGGAATGGACAGATGATGTCCTGTCACATAAAAATATAAAAAATCCAGAAAGTTGACTGGAATTATACTCACTTTTATCCTTTGCTATTGTGCGACACCTCCATTGCTTTGCTGTCTTAACATTGACTCACCTATCTCTGTCTTAACAATGATATACACATTAATAATATTAGTAGGATTATGTAAGTTCTCTACCATTATGCCCTAGGTCATGACCTAGAGTCAACCATTATTTAAAGTATTGAAATGTCTATAGAGAAGCAGTACCAAGAGAAATGGAAAGAACGAGGCAAGAAAATGTTATTAACGAATCAACATCTAAACTAAATCAGTCAACAGGCCAACAGCCAGCAATTGCAACATGGTAATCTTTTTTTATTTAATGACTAAAATTGTTATTTGTTTTTGTCCTACACCCTATGCATTCTGTATAGAGAAAAACAAAAGTTTGTATATTATCATATTGGGGATAAAAGTGTAAATAAGTTATTGTTCTGATTCCCATACAGCCTCCCTAGTATCAAAATGCGATATGATAAAATGATTTATCCACACTGAATGTCAAACTACAATGGAGTTTGAAAGTTGAGTTTTGATAAAAAACTTTATCATATCACGGTTTGATGTGCATTAATCGATGGCTGAAAGATGATATTTATATCTTTGCATTAATATATGTGAGAATGCCAGACTTAGACTTGATAACTATAGTTACAGGCCGGTCATCGGATGGGTGACCAAAAGTTATTATCTCGTGCTCTTCCGTGCTTTGGAAGGCACGTTAAGCCATTGGTTCCGGCTGCATCTGCAGTAGTTTGTACCCACCAGTCGGCACTGGGCCCTTATGTGTAAGGCCTTTTTTTTTGTTCACGCAGACAAAACCTCTGTTTACAGACGACGGCACCTTTAAGAGGCACATCGCTGAATGTACAAACATGGTCACGGGCGCGTGAACAGCTCTAAGGCGATTTTGCCATGCACTCGTTTTGTACGATTCGTTAGTGGGCGGGCTCTCGACTTTTTATGAATGAACAACAATAGCTCGGCTGTGTTGTGATGAATGTATGCTCATGATATTACATTTTGTTTGGAATTCGTAAATGATTTAATGAATGTCCTCTTTTCAATCACTTACATAATTAAATCCGGAAACAGTTGTAATCGTTCGTGCGTTTCACGTAGTAAGAGTTCTGTAGATTATTTAACGACTTATTTATTTATAAGAATCATAACTCCTGAATAATTCAGTGATTAAATAGAACTAGTTTTTACGGGTTAATTCATGAAACTTTATTTATTTATTGACGTTTCGTAGCGTACAGGCTTCGTCGTCAGAATAAAACTTTTATTTAATTTGTCGAGCTACCTTCGAAAGACTTTTATTGAGCGTTTGGTTATTTCATTGTTCGATTTTTAAGTTTTATTGTCTATCTATGAATTTATTATTTAATTTACTTAATAAAGTATTTTATTTAATTTTTTTTTGTAATTTTGAGTTTATTTATTTGACCCTAACAACCGTAAACTACCACCGGTTCCAAAATTGGGAGACCTTTCTGAGAAGAACCGGCGAAACAAACTCAAGAGAGGCTTTCTATCTCCTTCTTATTTTTACAAACAACACAACAAATTAAATAAAAGTTTTATTCTGACGACGAAGCCGGTAAAGGCTACGAAACGTCAATAAATAAATAAAGTTTCGTGCATTAACCCGTAAAAACTAGTTTTATTTAATGAGTGAGACAAATTAAATAAAAGTTTTATTCTGACGATGAAGCCTGTAAAGGCTACGAAACGTCAATAAATAAATAAAGTTTCGTGCATTAACCCGTAAAAACTAGTTTTATTTAATGAGTGATGTGCGTGAAAACCTAAGAAACAAATAATTCAGTGATATTTTATATGTCATTAACGGCCGCACTCAAAGACGTCAATTAAAGGTAATACTTCATTAAGTCGCGTGTTGTCTTATTTTATTTTACCAAGAAATTTTGTTTCTACAAAGAAAGTGACAGCATCAACTTTAATTTAAATAAAAAGTTACTTGGCGTCTCTGAGTACGGCAGCAATTGAGCACGACCTAAGGGTCTCACAAATTAAATGTTGCCCATTGCTTAGAAAGGGGTTTGTGATTAATCAAGTATAACGCGCGCTCCAATTCAAGCGGGAAATCCTCTATGCTACGTCTTTTAAAGGTAAAATAGACGCTGGTAAAAGTAAATACATTAAGTATAATTATTATTAGTTTTTATATATTAAATATAAAAACTATCATTAACGATATTATATTTATTTTAAAAGAGATTTAGAAAGAGAAGAGAATTCTCGGTGGAATTGGAGCGCCCGTCTGGAAAAGTAACCTTTTTCTTACAGAAGACCACAGTAAAATAACACTTCTTACCTTTTGGTGTTGTGTTTCCGTTGGTGAATAAGGTTTTAGGGCTCCACGGGGACGGGGATTGGGTTCTGGCCAGTAAGGTGAGAATGGCTGGAGCGGCACACTTTTTTATCGCATCAGTTATCTTCAGACTTCACTAGTCCCCACTCACACTTAAATATCTGGTTGGGGAAGGGAAATTTTCTGCGCCTTGTATTAAAAAAAATAACAAAAATATCTCACTGACTATTAGATGCTAACGCTTATATCTTTGGATAGGTATATAGAACAGAAACCCTTTGAGTATTTATTCACTGACAAATCTCGAAAACTACTAAAATATGAAGGTGAAATTTTACACGAAAGTAATTAATGATTAGGAGTCGTTGCCTAAAAAGGATTTTAGGAAACTTCCTTAAAATAGGGATAAATGTGTATAAATTAAAATTTTTAAAGTTGTTAATATCGGAGTTGGTAATTAATTAGGCTACCTAGAAAAATAGAAAATGATAGAATTTTCTAATTTATACTCTGAGTGGTTACAATGTAGGATCAAAGTTTTGTTTTGCACGTGCGAAGCCGATGACGGAAAGCTAGTAACCTATTTTTACAAGAGCATAATAAAAATAAAAGAAATAATTATTAAGCTCATTCTATTTGAGAGTAAAAAGGTTATAGGTTTACTTTAAAAATATGACTATACCACATTCATGAAGTCAATATTAAAATCGAAACCAAATGTAAAATTACGCGTATGATTATTGTTGTTGTTTTATTATTTCTTTATTTGGTCCCGATACCGCACGCGCATCACAGAAATCCCGAGATGTTGCCAAACCGCTGGCTGTAGCTGTGTAGCGGCATAGAGCAACGTCGCGCAAAATATTTACTCTCGCACGCATCATTCATAATTGCACCTAGTGCAGCGCTATGCTAATTGGTTATAGTAAAATACTACGACCAATCAGGATGGGCCCGTAAAATCACCCGTCTAGCGCTTTCACAGGAAAGATTTTTTGAAGTGTTTACGCGCCCGTGACCCCTACTGTACCTCACACCTCGCTCCCACAAGTCTTACGGGCCACCACAGTGGCTGCCTACTACCTAATTATAGGCTGATGATGATTCCATATATTTTTAGGATATTGAACTCAAAATACATTATTTATTTCAGTTTACAAAGAGAACCAAGACCCTATAGTTTTTCACAAAATGACATACATATTGGAATAGCACAACCGACCAGGACATGCATATATGGAAATTTGGAAACAGCTTCTTCCAGTGGCATTCCTGCCACAACACCTAGGCAACAATCCCCTTTAACAACACTGGGAAATCCTCCCACTGGGCCTTTCGGTATTCCTGATGCTACAAACAGTTATCAATCTACCATCAGGACCCCAGAAAGTTCTAATTTTGTACCTCAAAGGTAAGCTTTACTTTATTAAACTACCTTTACCCATTTAACTACCATTCACATATCAGGTTAGGGGCAATATAACTTTGATTTTAGTTTAGTGATACAAATAAGGTTACTATTGGGTAATCTCTGGAATTACAATACTACTTATTACTTTGTGCGTGCAAAACTATACAAGTGTATTATTTTAATTTTGAGCTTGTTTCATTAAATTTTAAGAGAAGTATGACATAGCAGACTTTACATTCTAATCGGGTAGTAACCTCCACCACAGTAAAATAACAAGGCACCCTTTTAGCATTTCCTTTTGGTGGTTGTGTTTCTGATGGTAAGTAAGGTTCCTCGGGGCAGTTTTGTGGGGCTTCCCGTTCCGGTTCGTTTGAGCCGAAGTACGCCTCTATGGAAGCTTAGACTAATTAATTAGACTCCGCGGAGGTGAGGTACTCTACAAGGGGGGTTCAGGAGAAGGAAGCCCTCGGCCTCACCTCACACACACCGCGAAACAGAACTTACTCGTGACAACGTGAAATAACGTCACACTTTCGTGCATGCAGCCGGTGTTCATCGATTTATAATGCTAGCTCTTCACTCTCGTCGAAGCAAGGCCTGACGAGGTTCTACGAATTTAAGCGAGGCGAGGCAACACGAGGTGACGCAAAAAAATATCCATCTGCATTCTCGTCTTTGTTTAGTTCTGTCTGTGTCGCCAGCATAAAACATGTGCTCGAAGTGCAAGTGCCGCGACTTTATGCGTCTGCGTATATGAATTTTGATAACATATAGTATACTTATAAAATTATAGAGCGTTGGAAAAAAAGGCGATGGTGGATAACATCTATGTATACACCGCAACAGAACAAGTTACAATATTATTTTTCAGGTGAATATAGGATTTCTATGCGATTGTTGTATTCGTTTAATTTTAAAAAAAAACCTCCCTCGTAAAATTTTACCAAGTCTCACTAAAAAGTCTGGTATCGTACTGATTGAATAAACGCGAGAATGTGGACGCGCCTTGCCTTGTCTGGCTTGTCAGTTGTAAGCGATAGTGATAGCCATAGCAATCCAGAAAGGCGGTAGGCCCCGGGGCACGTAGTTAAGGCCAAAACACACAGAAGCCGGAGGCGGAGCGGTGGCGGTTGAGAACTGTTTTGGCCTTTATTAAAATTGAGGGATACGCGCTTCATTGAAACTTGCGTAGATAAGAAGTCTGCACTCCGACAGATGGCGCGCAGTTATCGTACATTATACTAAATAATAAAGAAATGAACACTATTTCCAATTAGGTCAAATTTGGAGGCTTCATTGATTCAAACGATACATTTTGTGATTAGTTGGTGCCAGCGACTTTGTCTGCTTGGAAAAATTGGGTTGCCATACAAACTTACCTTACCCCCCTTTCAGCCCTTCAAAGAATTATTTCTGAGATAAAAACTATCCTATGCCCTTTCCCGGGACTCGAGCTATACTTATACCAAATTTCATCTAAATCGGTTCAGCAGTTTATAATGAATAGTTTACAAACGGAAAACTTTCGCATTTATAATTTTGGTATGAAAGTATGGATATTAAATTGTACTTTTTTTCACAGGCCTGCAAATGAAAAAGACGAACTCAACTGCCCAACATGCAAGCAAAGTTATACAGTCGCCATTTATCAGTGTTTTAAGGGGCATAGCTCATGTAGTAATTGTAAAAGCAGACGTTTCCCATGTGGCATTTGTGGGTGTCCTATCGGAGACATGAGGAATATATCTCTTGAAAGTTTTATTGCAGAGGTATGAGCTATTTATGATTATAATTTTTATTTTTTAAGCATGGAACTGCTCGATGTTTAAATCTAAAGGAAATAAAACTAGAAAAACATCTACGCGGACCAGGTAGCAGACGGGACTCGAACCCACACCCTTCGCTATCCGGGCGAATGCACTGACCAATTATGCTACCGCGGCCCTGATGGCCGTGTCAGAATCTTTCCAGCGTTTCTTAAGCTGCAAGGAAGCGCCATCTGTTCACATTGTAGGTAACCCACATTATCAAATGAATACCTTTACAAGTAAGAAACCTTTGAAAGAAGAAATAGCAATTATAGTTATAATTTTTATTTTTTAAGCATGTAACTGCTCGATGTTTAAATCTAAAGAAAACGGGGACAAACTGGTTCGAGTCTCGTCTGCTGCCTGGTCTGCGTAGAATTTTTTCTAGTTATATTTTCTTAAGTACCTATTTTTGATTGTTTTAATTTTTTATTTTATAACAGACCAAAATAACGCGACGCATTATGTTGGAGAGAATAAATATAATAATTCCGCACGTGTAATGTGATTTTTTTAGTTTTAGATTTCCATACCTATCCAAATGGCAAAAATGGTAATCTATGACGGTCACACTGTCGTCTGTCTGTCCGTATGTCACAGGTCCTAGATCGTAAACAGAACGAGTACGGGACTCTTAAATTTGGGATTTTATGTGGAATACTTACCCTAAGCCGAATATTTAGTAAAATATTCAAGTACATGCAAAAGGAGACGATTTTTTTCTTTTTTACTCTATAAAGTGTCATAATTGTATAGAGCTAGGTTGAGTGGGATATATTTTTTTATTTTCAGTTCATTTTTTTATTAATTTCATTGTTTTTCTTTTTTATTATCAACTAATGCTCAAACTCGTAAAATTTTCTTCTTTGACAGAGTAAAGTAGCATGTCCGAATTCAAACGATGGTTGCCGTTTGTATATTAAAATGGCAGATTTAGAAATACATGGAAAGGAATGTCCATTTAGTGAGATGCTGTGCCCTCTAGCAGCTATATTTGGTCAATGCCAATGGAGAGGTATGACTGATACTATAGCTTAGACGATTCACCAACTACAAAAATTTTCAAAAACACTCTCACTCGCGCGCATACACACATACACTCACTCACAAACACACACACACTCTTCATACTTTTAACCCTGATATATTATTATGTTAGCATAGCATCAAAGATGGATGTGAGACAATAAAACAAGGTAACAAATTCGTTGTACTTAGCCCTGGGTCTCTTAACATTCGGTATTGGTTGGCTTTTAGACCTAGTCCAGCAACAATAATCATACAAGTCGCCAAATTATTCTGAAACTGTCAGCCCTGACGTGTGCTTCTTCTTCTGACGACCTCCGTGGCCGACTGGTACTCCGGGTTTCATGGTGTCGCCGACTCGAGAGGTCCCGGGTTCGAATCCCGGTGGGGACAGATGTTTGTGTGATGAATACTAGCATTTGTACTCCAGTCATGGATGTGAAATAGGTATTTCTATGTAAATATACTTATATGTACAGTATATGTATTCTATCCGTTACCCGAGTAACGGTACGGTACCTATAACACAAGCCTTACAGTGCTTACTTTGGGGCTAGGCTAATTGGTGTGAATTTATTCTTACATCTGCATGGAAAACTCAGCATTCCAAGATTTTTTAGGGTGGTAAACAAACATTGGGCCTGCCTGATTTTAACTCTCCTTAAAGTTCAAGTTGCTTTAGATAGGTACAAGATTATCAGTTTCGCCGTTGCCATAGCCATCGACCTAATTGGCAACGATCGTACGATGGCACGGTGCTATCTCATCGTGCAATGAAAATAATGTATCTGTATCACAACGGCTTACGAACTGTATTAGAACACTTCTGAAGAAATCTTTATGTTTGAAAATTATACCACACGACGAGTAAAATGACAATCTGCAAATCGTAAGTGGCCTGTGGTGACCAGATTTGAAAATAAAAGCCCCCACACCTTTAAATCCGGCCCTGCCAATAAGTAGCATTATTTCACTGTAGTAGAAGATTTTGATGGCACAAGTGGTTAAGCAACACTTGTAATGGTTGGTCAATGGACGGGTGACCAAAAACTTATTATCTCGAGCTTGAAAGGCATGTTAAGCCGTTGGTCCAGGCTGTTTCTGCAGTCGTTAGCACCCACCAATCCGCACTGGGCCCGCGTGGTGGGTCCCGGCCCAATCTCCCTATTCCATCCGTAGGGAAGGCCTGTGCCCTATGTTTTTAATTTACTATTGTGTCTTGGATCATCATCATCAGCCTATTAATGTCCCCACTGCTGGGGCACAGGCCTTCCCTATGGATGGAATAAGGAGATTGGGTCATAACCCAACAAGCGGGCCCAGTGCGGATTGGTGGGTGCTGACGACTGCAGATGCAGCCGGGACCAACGGCTTAACGTGCCTTCCGAAGCACGGAGGAGCTTGAGATAGTAAATATTTGGTCAGCCATCCAATGACAGACTACTGCGAAAGTTGCTTGCAATGATCGCAGCCGAACGCGCTAACCACTTGCGCCATCGAGTTCCTCATGTGTCTTGTATGGTGTATTACAAAAAAGAATATTATTGTTATCAATTCGAGTGAAAATCTACTATGTATGCGTGCTCTCAGTCTACCATCAGAAGCAAAATCTTGCCCCAGTTAAAACTACAGTTATGTTTGAGGTTCCCCTTATTTGTCGATTTGGGTTATTAATCGTCGTATTTGAATTTTCGTTTTATATTTTAGGCAAACTTCCGCAAATTTCGAAGCATTTTAATGACGTGCATCCAAGTCATTGCAACGCCGATGTAGACACCGAGATGTTTTTAACACGCTGCGAAACACAAATGGTACATTACGTTGCGTTGGGTACTTTTAATTTCTTATTTCACGTCAAAGTGTCCGAATGCGATCGTAAAATTTACATGACAGCTCAATTGATTGGTACTAAGCAAAGCGCAAGTAAATGGTCTTACGAGATTCATATTTATAACAAAAGCCAAGCACGCAGAAAATACCAGTACGTGGACGTTTGCCATTCAAATAAGACACCTTTATCGGAGATATTTGCTGAAGAAAAGTGTGCCATTCTCCCATTCTCTTATGCGGAAAACTTCTTTAACAGAGACTGTATTAATTATAAATTTTTCATCAAGAAAGATTTCGGAAGTAAATCTTCGAGAAGCCGTAGTGCCCCTAGGCGTCGCTGTTAATCTGAAACACCACTAAATAAGCCTGGGCGCGGCGTACGGTTTCCTGATCAGGAATTCAGATTCGTAAACCTGAATGCACGTCCTAACATATATCTTCAACGAGGCGCACAGTATTCCGATTTTTTCAGAATGTAAAAGCTTAACTTTCGTTTGGGACTATAATTAATAAAAAAATCCAAACGACTGATCTAGGCTCACGGAATTCCGGACCAGGAAACGCAGTGGCGGCGCTAGGCGTCGGCGACGTCGGCCACCGCCAACGGCCTGGCGCCTCGAAAATTTTTTACACGTTACCTATTTTATTTTCGTTTCTCCTGGCCTGGCTTAGGTAGCCGACCCCGAACAATTCGGGGAAAAAGCTAAGCAGATGATAATGACTTTTATTATTTTCTAACACGTGCGTGATGGAAGCGAGTAGTACTTTACGGGTATTCAGAATCGTCTGTCTGGCAACACTATTTTTGTATTTAAATTTCTATGTTTGTAGTTATTTTTTGTCATCATTTGATTATCAACAATAAAACTCGTTTACTCATACGTTATTTTATAATTTGGCTTACTTAATTTAACGGTTTTTTACTGCGAAGTAAAGTAGGCCTCGCGAACTTGATGTCGCCGACGTCCACATGTGGTCTAGCGCCGCCACTGAGGAAACGGTACGTTGGCGCCCAGGCTTAAATTTCTTTCATTTACATTATCAAATAGGTACACGGTAGTTTAAGGGCTGCCTCGGGATTTCGGATACATCGCCCTGCCAAAATTATTATCAATTCTAATTCACATGTTATTATATTGTGTAATATTTTATAAATTATGTTCGGTTTAAAAATTAAATTAGACATTTAAAAATACAGGCAGTCCTCGTACTTACGGTATATTAGGTTCTCCAAATACGCGACGTAAATCGAAACGACGTAAGTCGAGACATCCGGCCCCACGGGCATTAACCTCCCGACAAGTGTATTCTCTTATGCCGGAAATCGAAACAATTGACGTATGCTTGAGGAATAGTGTCAAAACATTGTTTGACGTAACTTGAAACGACGTAAGTCGAGGACTGCCTGTATTATAAAAAAAATGTGTACAAGATGTACGACAGTAAATATTATGATAACTAGTTTTTATGTTGTCAATTTCTATTGACAACTAGGTACTATAGTTAAGCTTCGTATTACGATTGAGAATTTTTAAGTTCTTAGCATTGTAGTGTAGTCATTTGACACAAAAATTATGTTAAAACGACCAATGTATATTGTGCCTTTTTATAAAGCGCAATAAATTAATATCATGAGAATGGTTTGTAAGAGAAGCTTTGTCTACAGAAAAAAATACCCAAATATTAATTTTCATGTATACGCATGTAGGTAACAGGGAAATTGGGTAGTAATAAGATAGTCTAAAATAGCGATATTTGTATGAAACATCTCAACTATGTGTTTCATCTAATTTCTGTTTTACATATTTAATATAAAACTGACAAATTAGATAGATGATTCAGAAATCATCTCATCATCATCACATTTGTTCATTTTGTTTCATGACCTTCTTGTCTTTATAAGAGTCGCAAAATGAAACAGTCTTATCAAGGCATAAAATGTGCATTCTCGCTATTTTAGACCCAGTGTACAACGAAGAATGATATTTGTAAGGAATTATCCCTACGCTATTGTTAGCGGCTAATTTACACGTCGGCAAGTACAATAGCGAGTTTATTTACGATCTCGGCAAGTTAAGTTCTTATAAGCATTTGACGACGAAACGATGATAAGAACTTACCTCGCCAAGACTGTAACTTAGCTTGCTACTGTACCTACTTACCGAAGTGTAAATCAGCCTTTACTTGCGATTTCATTAATTGCGTTACTAAAACATCAGTAAGTATACAGCAAGATAGTTTTAAGTTCTTATGTTATTTTATAGAGATACTTAGATGTATGTATGTATTTTATTCTTTTAATAGATAGGTGGTATATGAGCATAGATCGCCTTAATATAAGTGCTGCATAAAGGAGAAATATTTTTCTGTCGCAACTCAACGTTTGGTTTTTTATAAGAACCATAAAATTACAACATTGTGTTAAGTGGCAACAGTATAAATACAACATAAAATTGCTTTGTTTCTGACGCGACAATGACCCTGGTGGTACCTATATTTTATAAGCAAAATATAGAAAACTGGCAATAATGACTTATTGTTTATTTTTCAACGAAAGTGATTATATAATTAATAATGGAATTTATAATGAGAAAAGAGGTCCGCTAAAACGGTTAAAGTGATAATATTATTAGGTTATTATGGTTATCTACAATTTATGATGGATAGTAACCACTATCATTTGGGCTTCGTTGTTTCTAGAAAATGTTATGATTTAGCCAGATTTTGGGATTACCACTGGCAATGTTAGAGCGATAATGGCACCATTTTATGGAATAAAGTCGAGCTCATATATAAATCCGCCCAAAGGCGGACCAGTAAAGCTTTGATTTCCTCGACGAGGAATCGCGATACGGCACTGCTATCCTAGGAAATTTATCCTTAGCCGGACTCTACTGAGACACAGAGTGACAGTGCTTTTTAAAGAAATCCTGTGTTAATGCAAAATATGCATAAGGTGTTAGGCAATGTGGAGTTGTACTCAGATTAATAACTAAAATTATTGTGAGGAGCAGCATCCTGCTTTTTGTTATTCGATATTGGGTCGTTTGTACTGTCATGGATTGGTCCAATCATTTGTCGGCATTTTCCTAAGGATAAGCTGGTCGATTATTAAAGATGGTTCAAAAAAAATCTTTAAAAAAAATATTGAACACTATGGGTATTTTCAATGGCATTTTGCTTACTAATATTATAATTAAATTGTTTTTTGATATTTTATGGAACTCAAGATAGATCCCTGCAAATGCAAATTTATTGCAAAAACCCCTACCTGTTTCATATTGCCTACGGTTTTGGACCACTCTGTTTAAGTAGTATAAGCAACATCGTAGAGAAGTTATCTAGTTTTGTTTAAACTAATCATTATTAATAATAAATATAAATAATGCACTTATCAAAAAACTGCGATTATATTAATAATTCATTTAACCTTATTATAATGTGTATTCTCTTACAATTTACTTGTGTAGGTATTGCTTATACAGTAGCTCAAATATATTGATTGAACTATTAAAAACCATTATTTCCTTTCATGATCCCCAAAGTGCGAGACAAGAAAAGCAGTTTTGATACCTTACTAATAAAACTCAGTTTAATACGTCCACGAGATGGATACTTAATTTGTCCTATTATGTTAAACATATCCAAAAAAACGACGGGTTGCCGGAGTGCCTGCAGAAGTGAAAACTTGAATATTAACGTTGTGCATTTTTGATATTTTGGAATGGTTAGAGAATAATTTTGCACGAATTGCTTTAATTATCAGTATAAAAGTACTATCATGTATGTGGAAGAATTCAATATTTATTTATTGCGCTATCGTACATATAAACATGACAATTTATATTACATTAAAAAGTTTATCCCTCAGAAAAATCAACTTACATGAATCACGTTTAAGCGCACTTAGCGACATCTATTGTAAAGAAATCAACTTACATGAATCACATTTAAGCGCACCTAGCAACATTTATTGTAAAAAAAAATCATTTACTTCGCAATAAAACTGCCACGTGAACGTCCTAGATAGAGACTTATTATAATACGATAAAATAAAATACTATTATGCTTTGTCCAATATATTGAAAGTCAACAACCTTTCCAATTTTATTGTGTGTCATGATGGATCACCCCACGTGTTTAACCTGACGCGAGTTTAACATTTTTTACCCATACAAAAAAAGTGTACAACGATGCTAAAGAAGTTTTCACTTCAAAAAATTTTTGACGTGACAACGTCTTAAATTAGGTTGCGGCTGGGAGTCACTTATGAAAAAGTGTAACGCTCGGTAACGTTACGATGAGTCTCTCGTGTTAAGTTTAAGTTTACATGTACAATGTTTTAGTAAACAAAATATATTTCTATAGTTAAAATTTGTGCAATTCTTATTTTCATTCAATTCCTTGTTCCTATTGTGCAATTTAATTATATTCATATCAATAAATATTCTACCGAGAAAAAGACGTTGTCACGTAAAATCTTCGCCCGTAAAACCGACTTTACAGGCAACCATTTTTTTGCTAATAAACTTCTAAGGAGTTAGTACAGGATCCCGTTCTCATCTGTGGTAGTTTATTATGCACTTACAATAATGAAAATACATTAAACGTTTTCAACAATTTATTACCATCGAAAAAAGTATATTGGTGGAAATAAGTGAAAGATAAAACATACAATGCTGATGGATACAATTATAAATGGGTACAAATGCAAAGACAACATTATACATTTGCATTATACTACGTATAGGTACAAATGAATAGAACTGTAAAGGCATTAAATGCTTTCGCTGGATCATAGGACCTTTCCAACTATTCATGATTTTATTTTGGCAAAAACGGAATAGTTCAAGCGATTATCACCTATCCAGCCTATGTGGTAGTGTCGACTTCATATCCCAAATAAAATGTCACAATTAACAATCGTAAATGTATCCTACCTATCTGTTACACGTATCATGCAATAAGTTCGTCGAGTACTAGGTTTCAAAAGGAATGTATTCAACTTGTACAATGTCAAAAGGAATGCATAATATTAGGAAAAATGTTCTCAACTTTAAACAGTAAGGCGCTTTGCAGACGACGGGGCGGGGCGGGCCGGTCAATTTCGCCGCGAATAATAGCACAAAGTGAATCCTATACTTCAAACGCACACAGCGGTCAAAAAGACCGCGCCTTGGGTGCCCGGCGGGCACCCAAGGCGCGGCATGTCCGCGGCTGCCCGCCGTGGATCATACAAACCAGTTTATATGCAGTAACGCAGACGGCGGCGCGGGGCGGTCATGGACTATTCACTAGAACGAACGTCCTAAACTGACCGCCTCTGCCCGCCGTGTGCTTTGTGTACGCAGCGCGGGCAGCCGCAGACATCGACGGACAGACGCGGTCTTTATTGCTTCGCGGACAAAATGCTCGCCCCGCCCCGTCGTCTGCTCAACGCCTAATGTTACAACATTGGCAGATCGCAACCAGACGCTAAATCGTATATTCCCGCGGGATTTTCTACCGCAGGCAAATGGGAATAGAAAAACTAAATGTTTATTCCCAGCCGCCGCAGGGATTACCACCGGAGGCAAATGGGAATGAAGTCACTTCAGTTTTTTTTATTCCCATTGGCCTCCGATGGCAATACCCGCGGGGGAGACTGGGAATGTACAGGTAAGAAAATGGGATTAAAGTCTGAAGGCGCGTCCAAAACTCAAAACAGTGAGAACAAGAGCTTCCGAGGGTAGCTGGTAAATCGCCTTTTCAATCGAGCGACACTACTTTTATATAAAACAGCAGGCAAAGTAACACATCTATCCATTGACATTTTGACCACCAGAGTCGTTTCTAATGAATAGCTACAAGACATTGATATAGTCCTTTATGCCCTTGCCAAACAGACGGGGCGCGGTGGGCCCGAGATAAGAGTAACGCGTTCTTATTTTGTAATTTCTACCATATAGAAATATGATAAGACGGATTAATACAGTACAAATCAAAAACACCCAAGTATTCTTCGATTCGCCGTCGGCTGATAGAAGTCATTATTCAGATGGTAAATTAAAGTTTGTTATTTAGTTATTTCAAAAAGTGCGCTAATCCACAACGGATTAAGGGGGGCGGGCTGTGGCCTAGGAGACCCCAAAAGACAGGGGGGCCGCCACTACAGAGGGAAAAAAATTAATGTCGATGGGTGACCAACAACGGGGGGCGTCCGCCCGGCCTAGATTTAAAAGCCTCCGCTCCTTCGTTGCCCCCGTGCCCCCTTACCTCTAAATCCGTACCTGGATAAAAAGACTGCCCTAAGAACACTTAGCGACAATCACTTGTCTTTGACCATAAAGTGACGGAGCACCAACTTTCTTTCCTCTTGTTTGCTATTATATTACACGAAAGGTACTGTTATTAATTTATCATAATAACAATGGTAGGTACAGTGCAGTCGCCCTTATAGCAAGATTTTTAGCAATCGCGCTATCACGTGACAATATCGGAAAATTTATACCTAATGAACAGCGCATCAGGTGGTACAGTAAGTTTTTTCAAACAATTTCGAAAATAATGACCATGGCATTAAGATTTACGTTACAAAAATAAAAATAATTTGTTTACCAGTTTAATGTGATAATAGACGCTGTTATCTGCACCTACCTCTTGGAAAGATACAAGTATTGTAACTATTTTATAAAATAAGTGAGACATCATACATCTTAAAAACTAAAACTTTACATTATATTTATATTTGCAATTTTTTTCAAAAGAAAAGAATATTTATATGAATAATGAACACACTGGAGTTCGTTATTTATTCTTATTTTATTCGAATTAAAGCAAGAGTGCTTGTTCGCACAATAAGTCGTTGGACGGCATTGAAAATTTTTCATCATTCACATTAAACGATTTATGATGGTTTGAATGCGCTATATTTGTTAGAAATTTAAAAAAATACAGGCGCAATAAAACTATTTTATTTATGAAACCGTCACTCTGTTTAATTTGGAGTAATCCGCTAATGTAAAATAACCTGAAAAAAAAGGTTGGGGTTTTTTTATTACTTTTAAATAACAATTTGTAATAAAAATATAATAAATCATACTGTATTGACGGAAATGTTGACTTTTCTGTCATTGGTCGAACAATGCTAATGCTGTGTTGTAATTATTCCAGCCCTCCAGCCAATGACAACTTCCTATATCTAGTGTGACGCAGATTTCCGTCCTTGTCTTTTGTAAGCGAATTTGTGATAAAAATTGTATTGACAGAAATGTTGATTTTTCTGACATAGGTCGAACAATACAAACAAAACAAAAACAAGGCATAGTAAAAAAATATATAAAAAATCTGATGTTTTTTTCTCACTTAATCTTAATAAATAAGTTTTATTAAATAAAAACTTTTTTTTTGCTCACTCTACCTATTTGGTTTGAATTGATAGCTATGACATCACAACATGGCGCCCAGTCGGTCCTATTCTTGGTTGAATCGCATTATACACATGATTGTATTTTAAATAAAATTTAAGGAGCAAGAAGCGCTAATGTAAATAGGTAGTTTTTGTGATTAATACTTATTTAACTAATAACTAACTTAATAATGAATAATTTTGGTAAAAAAAGCTTCCTTTTTTATCTCTACATACTGTCATCGCTTTGGAGTTTTTTTTTTATAAAGCCAGGTAGGCAAATGTCTCACCCCACTTGATGTAAAGTGGTGATAAAGTCCATTACAGAGATTCCTCATTGCAATTAAATAGTAACCATTTAATCTTTAGATCATCAAAAGTTACTTAATGCATTACATTTAAATAAGCACATCCAGATATATTCATTCCCTGTATTGTACTATTTCTTTATACAATGTTTATTAGATTATTAAAAATAAATATGCTATGCTAAGCATATAATAAATAATGACTAGATTAAATATCCAGGTCAGTGTAGTCTTATTCTATACACAACACAAATGGTGATACACACAAAACATACAAAGTGTTCTCACATCATTTACAAAATTGTGATAACTAAGTGTTTAGAAATCCACAAAAAAATAAGAGGTCATATTTTATAGTCCCTAGTTTCTGGGAAAGATAAATACATACTAAATTATGTACAGACAACAACACATTGGGCTATCACAAAGTAACTGGATATCTTCCCAATAAACTGGAATATGGCTTTTTGATAATAGATGAATATTATATAGGTATTATTATTAATATTATTCGATATATCACTGTGGAATAGAATGAAAACGAAAGTTTGCAGTGAAATGTGTATAACATAATGAACTTAATGTCAATTTTATAACATACAAACTAGTTACGAGTGACAAAAAGGTTACACATCTTCTGCGATATCCTCGAGAATTCCCCTAATTCCGTTCCACAACGACGGTATAAATTGAGCCTTTGACTAGATTTAAAGTTTTTATTTTAATAAACTGATAAAATGTGGTTTTGAACTTGAAAAAGTTGAATTTATGTAATAATTTGCTTGAAAAATACAAGCAAAATCTCAATAGTTTTAAATCATCAATATCTGCTTTTCACCAATTCATGCTTATGCAATTTTCTTTTTTCAAAAGTGGCAAGACAACCAGTTCTGCTTTGATCAGAGACAGTCAGCAACATAATATTATCATGTTATCCAAAACAATAAAAAGATTCCAACTTTCGAGATTTATGTGGATAATTGTAAGGTTCATAATTGAGTGAAAATAACTGGTAACAATGTGTTCTTGACTATACACAAATTTTAACAGACACATTGATAACAATAGTATATTTTAAATATGTATCAGACATCTATTTCATAGATTGAGAAATCTACCCAAGGTGGTAACAAACTTGACATTTAAAGCCAATTGGGTAGACCATTATGTTTTACCAAACTTATTCACAACAACACAACTTTCAGTATAATTATATCAAAATTGAATAAGTTTAGGCTCATCAATAATAACATAAGAAAGTAAAGTCTTTTTCTTGGGGTCCTTTACAATGTGAAGGTGGAATGCATGTGCATTTTGTCATGAATTACAGTAAAATTTTAATAAAAGTCACATATGCACGATGAAAAACATTGCATAAATATTTTTACCTGTGCCAATAAATTACATATTTTGCCAAAAAATAACAACAAATGTGCAGTAGTTAGATTCAATTAGGTACCAATTTTATCAAATCGCAAAATATCTAAATAGTCATATTAAGAGATTGAGAAACTGAAAATTTAAACAAATTCAGTTAACTCACTCACAAATTGCATTTTGTAGTGCTTAAAGAGAGTTTCTTTTTGACAAAAGTTAAAGAGGAGTAACATAATGTTTTAGTTATTTATCCCTCCGTTGTATGCGTAATCAGCCTTATTGTGCATTACTAGTTGATTGTCCACAAAATAAAAACTGTCAGAGCATGTTTCGAATGGAGCAGCAATCATCTCCTCGACTGTAAAAGAAAAAAGGATTTATTTACAAAATATACCTACTATAAAATAAGTATTAGAAGAGTTTTTTTAAGAAAGTTTAATATACAAACCTAAGTCAGGAGGTAGAGAAGGAAATTCATAGATGTGCTCGCATGTGTTTCTCGAAAATGGTATACAGAAACCAAACTCAAAATCAAAAGTCTTGAGCAAGGTATCTCTAAAAAAATGCTTTTCAATCATGCGAAAGTGATTCACAGGTCGAGCTCCAACAGTAAACTCCACACTGAAACATTTAATGTGACTGTGAAAAAACATTCAGGTAATAACAAATAAATCATACTAGCATTGATATTTTCATATTTTATGTCATAGATATTCAAATTTAAATTTGCCAAGTCACAAATTTATTGCTAATACAATACAATGCAACATAATAAATTGCATAGAAGAGTTGAATGTTTATATTTTATAATGATTATTTTATTGGCAAAAGAATTTTATATAGGTATATTACAATGCTTTTATCAAAATAAACTGGTTTGGTGTTTGTATTTATATTTTTCAGGCATTTCACTGCTAGATGTTTAAATGAGGTTCAAGTCCAGTCTTCTGTCCGGTCCGCGTGAATTTATTTCTAGTAAAATTTTCTTTGGTTTGGTGTTGCTAAGATAATTTTACTTACGTAGCACCAACTGTTTTCAACTTAAGAAATTGTGGGGTAAACTGGTATCGTACAAATCTGCCTGCGTTAGGGTCAAGTGGTTCTTCAGGAGTGTCCTCTGCTCCATCATTTTCCACTCCAAAATCTGTCGGTGGCTTAGCTATTTCAAATAGGACAGTTCCTGTTTCCAAATCTCGGATTTTGAATCTTGTAAAATCTATATCGTATACATTCGCTTCAGGACTACAAAGATATGTATCAGTGATTTTTTCCAAACGCAACACATCATCTGGTGTAATTTTACCCGAAATAATATCACCTTTGGATGATTCAAGTAAACTTATCGATTCGCACTTTTTACTGACCAAACTCATTTTAACTATAACTACCACAACTAATTATTCATAAAAATGAGGCACGACTGTTATTAAAGCGTCTAAAAAGCTAGCAAATCATAACTTAAAATGTAGGAAATACTTTAGAAAAATCGATTTCAATCAAACAAATTTTCATCCGTTTTTCATTTATGTCAATGTCACCACGCAATATTTCAATTCTGTCAAAGTTGTCAATGTCATTTTGTTTTTTTTTAGAATTTATTCTCCTTATGCGGAGAAGGCAAAGTAAACAAATTCCATACAGCCTTTTTTTAAATTATTATTTTGCTATTTTATTTACAAATAAATATAGTGGTGTCGATTGTGGCATGATTCTCTAAAGCTTAACTTAAATTTGACAACAGTGCATCCTTGTCATTCTCTATAAAGAATGAGAAGGAGAGACTGATGTCAAATTTAGTTTTAAGTTTAGAGAATCACACCAGAATCGATACCACTCTCCCTTTTTTTCCAATATTTCCTTTAAAATTTTAAATAAGTATTACTAAATAAAAACAGTCTAATTTTCAACAGTTTGGGAATTATGAGAATATCTACCGATTTCGTTATTATGCCACATTCAAAGTGAGAAAGCGCTGATATAGGTAGTTAAGTATCGCTTATTGCATTATGTGATGTACGTATTAAGCCCTGTGCATATTTACGTGTCGTGGTATGCCGTTTTCACATATTTATTATGGGTTAGAGAGAGAGAGAGGCTAGAGCGTCGACACGACACGACACGTTCATATGTTTTTAACCAAGGTAAAAGTATGAGACCGATGTGCTTCTGGCAAGCCGCGACATGTTTATATGAACAAGCCTTTAAGAACGTGAAAATATTAAAAAAAATTTAAGACACTGGCGCTAAAGGCAGAAACATATTTACGTGGTGTCACGACCCTCTTGGGGGCGGGGCTGCCACATGCAGCCCATATCCGTGATACAAACGTATCCACCGTGGATCGCGAGTTTTTTGACGATAGACACGTGACAAAGGGAGAATCGAGAGACGAAGGGTGATTACTTACCACAGATTATATTGTATGTACCTTCAAGCACCAGCGAATGTCCGTCCATGCCTCTCATCACTTTCTTACTCCATCTGTTAGTATAAATAAAGTTATGACACCACTGCGTGGTGCCACTAAGTCCCGGAGTCACACCATCACAACGGTATGACTCCAGGATTCATAGAACACATAAATATTGTCATAAATGAGTATCAAGATTATCTATATGCCTATTACCCATGTTAACTCAACTATCTACGTTAGCTGTCCAAACGATGCGGAAATTTCCTAACATGACTTTATGCCATGTGTCCTACGCTCCTGCAGAGCGGTGTGAGCATGAGAGCCAAGGCCGTCGCCTGCTCCCCATGCAACCCTTGCATGTTTGCGCCTACATGCAAGAGTCGCGTCGCCCACTTCTTATGGCACTACTATGGAACGTCTTCCATCTGGCTCAGCCACTATTCCAGCTCCGTCCAGACATAGCGCTGCGCATGCCATAACACTCTCTTGTGGCTTCTTGGTAGGGTACCCTAGGACTTGCCTCCTGCAGAAGCACTAGCCCTCCTCTTTTATATTGTTATAATTATGTCAATGCCACAGGCGTTTCACGCCTTTTACGCCGCCGGTACTTTCACCGTGTGAGAGAGTATCTTTTTACCTCTTTTTATATTGTTATAATTATGTCAATGCCACAGGCGTTTCCAATGCGTTTCACGCCCACACTCTCCGGCCCTTTTGCCGTGTGAGAGAGTATCTCTTTACCGTGCCGGTAAACACAGGTACATAGGCTAATATCAAGAGCGCAGGCAAGCGCTTATTTTCATACTTACAAACTTTTCATGAGATGCAACCAGGTTATCATTTATGTGAACTATTCTACTACTTACCTTTCGTTATATTCCGTTGGTTCTCGAGCTCGTAGACAGGCACGCATCAGGTAGGCACACTTTTATGGCACATAACAGTTACTAAATAATAGTACAAGGTAATCACAGTATATTAGTTAAAATAGCACAACAAACAAGAAGAGAAAAAAGAGTGGCTTACTTGACATTAGGCTTGTTTAAAATATATCGATGTATCAATATATCGATATTTTTTGTTCGATATATCGATATTTTGAACCGATATATTTTGATTCGATATATCGATACATCGATACAAAATAACCAATATCGAAATTTGTATCAAAAACGATATTTTTTTTAATTATTAGCGGCATATCACGATCTAACTAAATTCGTATCTGGAAAAATCGTAACTGGATCTCAGATTAATGATATTTAACATATCTATGATCTGTGTATTTAGTATTGTCTATGATTTGTAAATCTGTTTCGCTGGTGGATTCCATTATATTCTGTGGAAGTGTGTGACTGTCCAGTCTTGTTTACGAAAGATGACCTGAGAGGCCCTGCAATCATTTTCATAATTCGAAAACAGGGTCTACTTTTAGGGAGATAATTTTTGTTCCATTATTATTCTGCGTGTCGTCTTTCGTGAGATACTGTACTGTCATGTAGTGTAGCGGCAATTTGGTACTAATTCTTTCTTTAATTATAATTTGTATTGTTATTATTACTGTGCTAGGCTGACTGTGCTACATATATTTTTGGGAAAATTGGTCCGATATATCGATATATCGATGTTTTTTTCGCGATATATCGAAGCCGATATTGATATTTTTTTAAAATATCGATGTATCGATATTTTTTTCAACTTTCGACATCCCTATATAGCGGCAATTGATATGTGTTGCCACCTCAAACATCGCGACTGGTGTTGCCGTCGCGACACGTGGCGTGGCGTGTCGTGACGCGCCAGAAGCACATCGGTTTCATACCTTTATTATGGTTAGCGGGAAATTTGTAGGTTGTGTCTGTAAATATGTCTCTTACCATTAAACAACAACTTAGGAATGCATGGTGGTGGTGGTAGTGGTCGTGTATTATTAGGTACTTATGTATATTGAGCAGCGCTGTGTGGTTGATAGCTACTTGAAGTATCTGCATTATGCCGGCACTTCACATGGCTATTTTTATTTGCCGTTTGTAAACTTAAACAACACAACAACCTCTCCTTTTTATTCTCTTTAATGGGGTGTCCATTGTCATAATTTCATTATTAAATACGAATAGCCATGGGAAGAGCTGGCATAAAGTGCTATCATATACTTTATGACGTATTTATTTATTTATGTATAAGCTTTCGGTGTCATTGCAGAAGAAAATCTTTCATGCTAACAAGGTGCTTTCTTTAAAAATGGGAGTTGCATTGCATATTATTCTTACTCTCTTACATTATAGCTTATTACCGACACGCCATTCTATATATCGATATAAGAACTGAGCACCTCTAAGTAGAGATGGAAAAAACGGCTTATTTCTTAATAGCGTTTAAACGTTGTACTTTTTAAAATAAGCGCGCTTGAAAAAAAGCTTTTTCGTTTAAACGCTTATTGGCTTCAACGTTCAAAAGCATGCGTAAAAAGCGCGACGTTGTGTTGTATTTTCGTTTATATCGTTTAAAAAAGCGTGAGTTTATTGTCGTTTTAAATGTGTTTAAGTGTTTTATTGCGTTTTTTGTTCTTATTAATGAAATGTTTATTAAAAAGTTTTCTAAACTTAATGAATTGATTGGCATTAAAAACGAAAGATTTTCAATTGGATTTAGATTTTATAATATTTTTTTTTATAATAGTCAATGAACTTTCCTTCCTACTTTACAAGGTGTCCGTGATGCTAGCGTACCCACGATCAATATACGGGTTTTCGTTATGCCATTAAATAGTGCGTAAATAGTGCCAAATTAGTGTAAAAATAATAAAAATAGTGCCTCTTTAATTTAAGAAATAAATACCATTTTTACTGTGTACGCTACCATGACGTCAAGCTAGCGTACCCATGGCCGACCCCAAGAACGGCATATATTTAAGCAACAAAATTGACACACAAAAATAGTTCGCAAATAGTGCCCTGGCTTTACAAAATTTCATAATCAATACTCTTAAAGGACCAAAGATATTGAACTAAACATTCTTAGCTGGCGTCAACCTGGCGTACCCATAATAGTTCTCATAGAAAATGAACTTTTCTCGTTATCAATTCTATATGTATAAATAGTGTGTCGAATAGTGCCTCTAACAGTAAAAGTATTTTATGTGAATCCGCATCACAACATCACAAGAGGGTATTAAATTCTAGGAACAAATGTATTGTAGTACAGTTACACACAAAATTAATTTATGCACTAAGAGATTATATATATATGTATTTTTACTAAAATAAATAGGTACTTTTTATAAAAAGATATTATATTTCTATTCGAATTCACCAATCATAAATTCATATAAGAATTTCAACCTACCTACCTACTAAGTACCTTACTTACCTACTATACTACGAAAATATTATCACTTCTGTACATGACTGTACTTCATATATAAAAATAATTTATTTGCTTTTTTTATATTGTTTTACTGCGAATTAACATAAAATACTTTTACTGTTAGAGGCACTATTTGACACACTATTTATACATATAGAATTGATAACAAGAAAAGTTAATTTTCTATGAGAACTATTATGGGTACGCCAGGTTGATGCCAGCTAAGAATGTTATGTTCAATATCTTTGGTCCTTTAAGAGTATTGATTATGAAATTTTGTAAAGCCAGGGCACTATTTGCGAACTATTTTTGTGTGTCAATTTTGTTGCTTAAATATATGCCGTTCTTGGGGTCGGCCATGGGTACGCTAGCTTGACGTCATGGTAGCGTACACAGTAAAAATGGTCTTTATTTCTTAAATTAAAGAGGCACTTTTTTTTTTATTTTTACACTAATTTGGCACTATTTACGCAGTATTTAATGGCATAACGAAAAACCGTATATTGATCATGGGTACGCTAGCATCACGGACACCTTTACAAGCCGAGGACTGTCTGGAGTTGATATACTCGTGAATACTCGTGATCCAGGCGTACTTAAAAGTTCATTGATTTTATATACATAATTTTAACTATTTTATATGCACATTAAACCAATAAACGAAACGCATTAACACAAGAAAGCATGAAAACACACCGTACAACACCCACGCGCTCTTACTCCGTCACAGTGACAAGCGTACTGCTTTTCGACTTCGTTTAATTAAACGCTTTTAACGAAAAAAGCGTTGGTTATCCGACCAAATTTTAAAAAAGTGCAATTTGTTTTACGTTGCATTATAATAATTCGCATGCTGTATTAAGCGGCTCACAAAAGATGGCACGCCGACGCGGCGCGCTGAAGTCGCGCGTTCTATGGCTGTGATGCTGTGAAATATTTAGTTCCAAGGAATTCCGCGTACCCATTTTTCGATACTTTAGTGGAGTAGAAGGATCGAAGTATGTAGTTCCTGGCAAAGACATAGATAGCGGGATTTGCACTTTTTAAGTAAAAAATATACTTGCACTTTTGCATCTGGCATGTTTGCGGACGTAAGCACTGACGACTTTTATGCTATTATGCGTAAAAATGTCGCGTCACTGGTGCATCGGTTGCGGGGAGGTTGTAACAGAGTCCTGAGTATGTTAGCAAATACAATGGACTCCCCTCTGCTCGGTCAGTTCATCAAACTACATGTTTGGTGACCAGGCCGAGGGGAGGGTGCAGTAAAATTAGTATAAATTAGTAAATTTTTAATTATTTTAATTTTGAAATTGTTTATTTATTTTAATTATTTCTATATAATGTTAATGATTTAATTATGTTTATATATACTATAATGATGATTGAAATTGTAATGAAATACTAACATAGGTTAAGAAAAATTGTTACTGACATATATGAGACCATGTCTTGAAATAAAAGATTTTTATTTTTATTTTATTTATTTATTTTTTTTAAGTGAAAAGCTTACTCACACTTTTTAAGTGAAAAGCTTATAACGCTTATACTTAAAAGCGTGCTTACAAGCTTAATATTTTAAGCGCGCTTAATTAAGCGCTTATCGTTTAAACGCCCACCGCTACCTCTAAGTTGACGTAATATCCGTTGCGTCATAAAGTGATCGAGCATGCGCCTTGTCACTTTCGTTGGCTAGTCATAGATAAAAATTATAATAATCTGCCAATAATCGCGACATAGCTCAAGACCTGCACTGTGTTAAGTTTAATTTTTCAGTGAGGTGGACTATCTAATGTGTATTTAAGTGAAATAATAAAAACTGCATCATGCTTATCAAGGAATAGTAAGTATATTGGCTAAGGTTATAACTCAGTGATTAAAATCGATTTTTGTTGGTTCTACAAGGAATACTCTTGACATACACATCGTAAAATTATAATTTATCAGTAAACACTGTTCAGAGCCAATTCCAATGGAAGATATCAGTAGTCAGCGAAACGAGTCATGTCGTTTTTTGGAACCTATGAAAAATTGCACAGCAATGACACTGACAGTATCTGACCAAGATGTTCAGGTCAAGGTTGAGTTGCTAGCAGATGGACAACGTTAGAAGCGGCTAAAGTCCTGACTTGGAAGCTTGCTGGAATCCTAGATGGTCTATTTTTCTAACCTACCTGTTTATTTTTAAATCAAATTAGGAATTCATGCTTCTTTATAAAATTTTATCAGATTAGTAGTTCATTGTAATGATTGAAACTAAAATTAACTATGTATTTTTTCTTTTACAGCCGTGTTACTCTTCCTTTAACAGTTGAAGAGGTAAGCAAGTATATCTTCAAAAATTCATTTAGCGCTTTTATACATTATTTATGATAGTATAAATACAAAAATAATTTTTGACTTATCAATTATTACTTATAACATTACATGCCATATACAACATGGTATAGCATATGGCTGTATATTTTGATGTCTGCTTAGCAACGGTTTCATTCTTTTAAATTAAACTAATATCTAGTTGTTTGTTATCAATGGTGTTTTACTAATTTGAATTTTGACATAGTCATTGTTATCAGGGTTCCATGATATTTATCCTTGGATATATCAATTGTTAATTTGAAAATTACTTATACAAAACTAGTATTTTACTTGTATATTGATATGATGGTCTGCGAGAGAAAAAAATTAGATATAAAGAGAAGTCATCTTATTTCTAACGATGCTTAATTTCTGTTTTGTAAAAAACATTGGGGTCTTCAAACTCAACCAATTGCACTTTATACCCTGTAATAATAATAATTACTATAGCATTTTACATATATAGGTGCACACACAAAGGTGTTCTCTTCCACCATATAAAATATGGCACTTTCAATCCAGTTGCCGAGCAGCGACCTTCAAGAAGAATAACAATCACAGACTATTGCGCTGCAGCATGCTGTGAAGTCTATTCTTACGGCAAAGCAATCAATCCCACATGGATTGAAATACTTATGATTTGTCAAGCAAGATCATTTTATTTCTAATGTCTTATTGCTGTGTTGAGTGTGAACCATGATGCGCGCTGGGAGCAATGCCCACCCTAAAATCCTTTCTGCCCACCTTGAAGTTTGAATGTTAAAAAATGACAGCAGTTGATAAATTAATTTCAATATGAATATTAATTCAACTGGAGGCTGCCCTCATAGGAAAAATTTCTAGCTACACCAATGTGGATGCTCAAACATAATGTTTATTTAATTGCTTTTTGTTTCTTGCATAGTACCAAGTGGCGCAGTTGTACTGCGTGGCAGAAGTATCAAAAAATGAAACGGGTGGCGGTGAAGGAATAGAAGTCATAAAGAATGAACCATTCAAAGATTACCCGCTGCTAGGTAAGTTTTACTTTAGTTTATGACTGACCATAAACAGGGAACTTAGATGTGATATTGGATTGCACCATAATACAATTTTTTATAAGCAATGAAGTATGATGTTACTATATTGCAAACATGATCTCGATAGATTGTAAGCTGTCTGTTATAGGCCCAATTAAGCAATAAATTAGCTAGCACTGTACTTTCTGGGCCCAGGAGGTGCCTCGATTAACGAGACTTTTTTGGCGCTTCGCCGTCAACAGACCACTGAATGAAACTAACTACCTTCCTATATTTGTAATTTACTAAAAAATCTGTTTTCTATAACAACAACAACAACTTAAATCAACTTTCACAATATTGGTAAATAGTAATTAAATCAAGTGAATAAAATAAATTAAACTTGAAATAACCACTAATAGGTACTTAAAGTACATAATTACGTTTCGTTGTTGTACCTTAATATTACTATAAATAATAAATAAATATTTCCAATGCTCACACCAATTAGCCTAGCCCCAAAGTAAGCACTGTAAGGCTTGGGTTATGGGATACTAGGGTAATGGATAGAATATATTTTGTACATATATAAGTATATTTATATAGAAATACACATTAAACATCCATGACTAGAATTCAAATGCTCGTATTCATCACACAAACGTCTGCCTCCACCGGGTTTCGAACCCGGGAGCTCTCGAGTCGGCGCTACCAGGAAACCCAGCGTATAAACCACTTGACCACGAAGGTCGTCTAATTATTACTATTATCACTCTTCGAACTTCATAATGCCATATATTTCGGATTTTTTTCTTTAAAAACCTTTTTTGAAATTATATAATATAATACAACAACGAAGTAATTTTCCAGTTAGGCGCAGTCTGTCGAAAGTTATGTGCGTACATACATTTCGGCGATTCATTTAAATATATTGAAGATAAAATTGCTTGCACCTTTAGGTTCAGTGCAGGCATTATTAAAAAAATTAGGAACCTACCTATACGCAATATTATTTCTAAGTGAAATGCGCCAAAGTATTGTTGATTCACGTTTGAAGCCTTAAAATGTTGTTGTGTGCATACACACGCAATATATTCTATGTCAGTCGTACATAAATTATATTTGTTGATAGTATGATAATGATATGAGTCGAGAATAATTCATAGGTACTTGCTTACCTAAAGGGCGATCGGAACAGTGCCATTGTAAAATGATATTCGTCATGGGCCGGTGGCATAGAGCAACGCGACCGACGCGGCTAGGAGGTGGGAGTGCATTCACAGTGTCTACGATTCACAGCGTTCCCCTCTAGCGATTTTTCCCCGCTGTTGGGCCATCAATGCTCACACCAATTAGCCTAGCCCCAAAGTAAGCACTGTAAGGCTTGGGTTATGGGATACTAGGGTAATGGATAGAATATATTTTGTACATATATAAGTATATTTATATAGAAATACACATTAAACATCCATGACTAGAATTCAAATGCTCGTATTCATCACACAAACGTCTGCCTCCACCGGGTTTCGAACCCGGGAGCTCTCGAGTCGGCGCTACCAGGAAACCCAGCGTATAAACCACTTGACCACGAAGGTCGTCTAATTATTACTATTATCACTCTTCGAACTTCATAATGCCATATATTTCGGATTTTTTTCTTTAAAAACCTTTTTTGAAATTATATAATATAATACAACAACGAAGTAATTTTCCAGTTAGGCGCAGTCTGTCGAAAGTTATGTGCGTACATACATTTCGGCGATTCATTTAAATATATTGAAGATAAAATTGCTTGCACCTTTAGGTTCAGTGCAGGCATTATTAAAAAAATTAGGAACCTACCTATACGCAATATTATTTCTAAGTGAAATGCGCCAAAGTATTGTTGATTCACGTTTGAAGCCTTAAAATGTTGTTGTGTGCATACACACGCAATATATTCTATGTCAGTCGTACATAAATTATATTTGTTGATAGTATGATAATGATATGAGTCGAGAATAATTCATAGGTACTTGCTTACCTAAAGGGCGATCGGAACAGTGCCATTGTAAAATGATATTCGTCATGGGCCGGTGGCATAGAGCAACGCGACCGACGCGGCTAGGAGGTGGGAGTGCATTCACAGTGTCTACGATTCACAGCGTTCCCCTCTAGCGATTTTTCCCCGCTGTTGGGCCATCTTTGAAACAAAACTAAGACCTATTCTAGACGGATGTAATCCAGCGTACCAACCTAGGTGACCTTGCCCGTTGCCATCCATCTAGACTAGACGAAGGATGTAATCCAAATTTTTAATTGACCTTCAACTTCCTTGGATTACGGACGCGGTTGGAACGCGTGGATTACAACCGTTTGGCTGGCGGATTACATCCAACCAAAGCAAAGACAGTTCAGAGAGTTGCGCTGTGGCAGTCAGCGGGTGCGCACGTATGCGTGCACGTATTCTTAGAAAGTTATGAATATCATTAAAGTCCAATAACTCCAATAAGTTTGAATGAATTAGAATGGCTGAGAATCATTCGCTGTTGTAACCAACGCTTCATCCACATTCTCTTTTTTGTTATTTTTCGTCGTCTATTGCACACAAAACTGTTAAGGCAAAGCCCACATTTTGAAATTTAGACAAATTTGGAGTCATTTCTACAACACGTAACCGTGTTGTAATACAGTCCGCGCATGATACGAGTGCATACGTGTTTTCACGCCAGAAGACGGCTCGTGATTGCGTGTTGGCGCGCTTCCTTCCTTCCCACCAAGGTCACCTTGGTTGGTACGCTGGATTACATCCGTCTAGAATAGGCTTAAGTTGCTCTAGGATATTTCACTAGACTGAGTCAAGTCGCGCGTGTGTATGTTAGAGATCAAAAATGCCAAAATGTTATGTAATTTGCAGTAAGACATATTTGGAATATTAAACTTTTAATTGTTAATGGGTTAATGCACGAAACTTTATTTATTTATTGACGTTTCGTAGCCTTTACAGGCTTCGTCGTCAGAATAAAACTTTTTGTCAATAAATACGTCAATAAATAAATAAAGTTTCGTGCATTAACCCGTAAAAACTAGTTTTATTTAATGAGTGATGTGCGTGAAAGCCTAAGAAACAAATATTTCAAAAGAATGTTGTTAAAGGAGATTGCTCAAATTGTCCTAAATGCACAAAAAATATTGACATACACGGTAATTCTTGGCGTAAATTATAATTTAATTTACAGTCATTAGATTTCAACGGACACCTTTGTATAATATATTTATTTTAAAAAGGACTTTTAATTTTACCGGTTTGTAAAACATACGAATCATTTTTAATGGCTATGGGTGTAGTAACATTCAGCCAAAGACTGATCGAAGTTGTTTATATAACATAAAAACAAATCTATTTTGTAAAGATCGATAAAACAAATCATTTTTTTTATTACACTGTGGTATTAATATCCACAACTATATTATCATTTTCACTAGATGCAAATGTGCTCAGACAATTATTATAGATGGTAGGCGACATCATAAAGTATATTGCCATACATTTTTCGCCAAACACCTCCATAAACACATTATAATCTTTATATATATGTTAGACTTTAAGGTATCTATCTATGGGCCTACGTTCCCTGACTATAAATAAATAAATAAATAAAATTATAAGGTGTGATACACTAAAAATCTAAAATATGGTTATCTTAAAAACATAACAAAAATAATGAAGCTACTGAATATATGGCTATAGAACCTAAATCTCTTAGCTTTCTTTGGTTAACGAGAGTTTAAAAATTCTCTCTAATCTGTGGCTCATTCACAATCGTCACACAGTTTCTGTCACAGAGTACTTTATTATAACCGGAAATGACACCTGATTTTAAAAGTTACTCTTATGCATTAACTTTAAAAACAGGCAACTATCTGTTAATGTACATGCTCTATATACCCCGCAAAAAGCGGCAGAATGATTTCAGTAGTATTATGTCATTATAGCTCCTCCCTATACGCGGCGGCTGTGTTACTCTATGGTCAGTAGTTTCGGGATATGTATGTGTAGGATACACATACGTAGTAGAATAAAATTATTAATGAACGCATGAATAAACGAGAGAGGGTGAGAGAACTGCGGTTGTAAATTTATAAATATATTTCGATGTTTATGCTCGCCACTTCATCATTCATTTGATTGTTGGTCGATGGCTCGCCACCTACGAAGACAACTAGTGGACGACCAATTTACTCTCTCCGAACTCCGTTTAATTCATTCACAATGATAAAGTAACATTATTGTTTGTGCTTGCACTAAAAACAGTGAGCCACAGGTAGTTTTCTATAGTTCTGGGCATCAATTTCATAATATCTTTTTTTTTTTCAAATTTTAAAACAAACTGGTATTTCAAAAAGATTCCAATAAATTTAATATGTATATGAATTTTATTACTGTATGAGAATGCGTAAAATTAACACTTAGATTAAATGTCATTAAATTATATTTTTATTTTTCTATACAAATGTCGCTATTTAAAACCCCCTGAGCAGAGTAAGCTCGATTAAAAGTATAAAAAGTAGTTACAATCCGGATCGTTTGTTTCATTCGAAGACTAAAGAAAATTCTTTCCTAAAACCTTTATATTTTGCTCCGTTTCGCATTCGCTTACCTCCTTTCCCGCTCACTCTGGAATAATTGGTAGGGAATCGAAGGCAGAAAAACATAGAACTTTCGACCAAAATAAGTATAGAACGAATTTGTGAGCGTTGTCTGAGTTATAATACCGTTTGTGTAGCGTTTGATAATGTTTTTTTTTTCATATAAACAAAACAAGTTTTAATCTTGCGCGTACGACATCTTCGGATCGTTAAGGAGGTGAGAGGTGCGTTGATTTCGTTTCAGATCTCCTTCCTTCATACAACTCTTGACAATAATGATATTCAGGGACCTTACTATGGTATTAAAAGCAATACAGTTTCTTGAAGTGCGACAGCTCCCTCGAAACTACATTATTTATTTCCGATTTAGATTGCATTATGAGCTTAGA